TAATACGCGTTCCGAATATCGAGTACCGTAAAATATCTAGCGCCTCTTAGCCGATCTTATAGCTCATCGATTCGTGGTAGCGGGTAGACATTTTTAATGGTAATATCGTTAAGCTTTCGGTAGTCCACATATAATCGAAGTTTTCCATCTTTCTTTAGAGTAAATAGAATCGGATATTCTACTTCTAATTTCGATGATCGGATATAGTCTTTAGCTATATTTTCTTCGAGATATTCTCGTAAGACTATTTACTTCTTTTCCGATAGAGAGTAGAGAAATTCGAATATAGGCTATTTTCCCTTCTATAAGTGAATCTCGTAATTCTATAACTTATATTTCGGTAGTGTATTAGTTCCTACTCTTTTCTCGAACACTAATTTTAAGTGTGTATATTATGGTGGACATTCTATAGTCGCATTATTAAAAACCTATGCCGGTCGTACCTAGATCGTTTTCTTTACGTGGGTTTATGCCGCCCCCATCTCTATTTCTAGGGTTTTATTATCGTAGTCGTAGTTATCGAACCGTACCTAGGATTTGGCTCAGTCGATAATAGAGTTATGGTATTTTAGCCATGGCATTCTAAGAATTATATCGTATTTTATGTCTATGATGTTAAGATCTAGTCTTTCCTGGTGATCGTTAATCATTAGCTGCATCGCTTTTAGCTCGTGCGTAAGTTATGTTATGATTATTCCGTCGAATTCAGTAATTAAGTCGGATTCCGGTCTTGGAACTTTCTAGCCTTGTAGCTTCTCTACTACCCTCGTATATACGAGGTTCCCTATATATCCTGAATCTATTAGGATATTGACTTCTTAATCTTTAAGTGTCTCTCTAAGAAATATAGCTCTAGCGTTAGACCTTATGGCTGCGTTCACTTCGAGTTTTAACTTTCGCCTTTCTTCCCTAGTTCTAACTAGGTGTACGCCTCTACTGTCGATCTTCTAGCGCTGACGTCTTCTAGGGGTATACTTTCGGTGGTGTAGGTGCCTCTAGTTCTCTCATTAACTTAGTTTTTTAGCTAGTGAAGGTAGTTCATTTTCCTACCTTAGGGTTATGATACGTCGTAGTTGTAGTCGTCACAACGTTAAATTAACTTAGTATGGGCTTATTGCGCTTCGATAGCCGTTATATCTAGCTTCTCGAGTTATAGATAGTCGAGATATTGCTCGTGGAGGTGTGGGATTAGTCGGAGAGGATAACTATAAACGCGGTTATAAGGAAATAGTCCAGAGATGAGCACATTAAGTAAGGTCTTAATGTATCGCGGGACTAGGACTCCTCGTTCTCGGTAAGCGCGTATAGTTGCCTATACCCCGGCTTCCGCTCGATCCATGATTCTTATGTAATTAATTCGTTCGCGAACCTCTTCTTCTAGGAGTCTCGCTATTCTAGTAATATTTAGGATATTCCTTTCGGTGAGAGATCGTAAGAAGATCTCTTCTTAGTCCGTAGCCTCCCTTACTTCGCGGGTAATTTATTCTATTTACGCTGCCGTTACTATGACTCGTTCGGTAGCTTCTTAAATTAGCTATCTAATTTTCTTCTCTATGAAGAATTCTCTAGGTTCCTACGTTTAGCTTTCTCTAGTGTAATCGGGGTCTAAGTCGTATTTAGAGTTAGTTATATTATATTTAAGTGGCGTCGTATTATTAGAAGAAATCTAGGTTAGCGGTTATCTCTATGGATTTCCTCCTTGGTGCGCGTGTATAAAATTCGGATGAGTGTTGACCTATAAATATTCTTAACTTCGGTATATATAGATTCTAAAAGTTATTTCTATATCTACTGATAATCCGTCTAGTTCGTATACCGTGTAATTATATTCTGTAGTTCGCCGTGGGTAGTAGGGGTCGGAGTATAGCTTTCTAGTTCAATACTTAGTTCGAATATAGATCTTATTAGTAGTGATCCCCGTAATGATTATCTTTCCTTAGTTTATAGAGTTACCTAGGCGTATATATCCTCCTTTAGCTATATTAGCTTCTGAGGTTATTTTGGCGATTTTCTCCTACTTTAGTTATTTTTCTACGGCGGTAATCTACTTCTTCTTTTATTTATATTCTTTCGCGTAATGTTCTAGCTTCTCGTAGCTATAGTAGGTGATCTCTTTTCTCTTTCTAGAAGGATTCTTTTTATTCTTCTTAGGATTGTTCCGTCGTTTTTACGCCTAACTTAAGTTTATAGGTTAGGGTCCGTAGTATAGCTTACGTCTTTTCTAGATGTTTATCTATTAAGTCTTTATAGCTTATATCTTTCTAGGATTGTGGGGTTCTTATTATCGATATTCTTTAATATCGTTATCTTCTTTAATAGCGGTAGCGATCTAGTCTTCTAGGGTAATCTTTTTAAGGTGCCGTAGTTCCTACTTAATCTTTAGTTTTAACTCTTCTCGGAAGATCGAAATAGTGATGTTATTCTACTATTCTAGAGTTATATTTAGTGTTCTAAATTTTATCGCGTACTTCTAAACTAACTCTATTTATCGAAGGCTCACTATCTTCTTTTAGACTTCCTTTTTCTTATTCTTTACTCTAAACACTAGCTTCACCGTTTCTTTAAACTCTATAAAGGTTTCGAATAGATTAATAGTTTCGTCTTCTCTATCGTCTTCTTCGTTTTTCATATAGTTCTTAATGAAGAGTCTAAGCTATATCTTAGCGTCTCCTTTAAAATAGCTTCCTATAAAGAGAATCTTCTATAGATTATTCTGGAAATTAGTGGGGTTCATTAGGATATATATATTTATATAGTGAATGAAGGGTATAAGCTTAGACTCTACGCCGTTGAAGGGCTTAGGTGGGTTACTAATTTTTCCCTTACTAACTGTCAATGGTACGTCTCTCGATGAACTTACTACACTCGTCTTATACGCCGGTGGTGGTGCACTGGCCGTAGTCCTTGGGGTGCTTAGTGTTGGTCTTAGTGTGCTCGAGGTTATCGACATCGTGTTATCGTTGAGTGATAGTCGTGCAGTACGTTGTGTGGGTTCGTCTATGGGTGAGGCGGGTCGGTTCGGTCTACTCATAGGAGTTGTCTTCCATAACGGGGGTAGTAGCTAAAGTGTTAAGGATTCCTACTGATCCTAACTAGGTTAGGGTTCTTAGCAACAATCCTAGGATAGCATGAGCTAATTGGGGAAGACATAAGATATGAGTAGGGTTCTCTATTACTAAGAACTATATAGTTTAGTAGATAACATGAGTTGGCTACGGAGAGAGTGTAACTATCTGGGGTAATGAGGGTGTATATATAATGCTTGTGCTCTATGCGCTCTGTGCGCTCTGTGCGCTCTGTTGACAGAGCCAACAGGGCCAACAGGGCCAACAGAGCCTGTCACGTGATCCAGCCTTGTTCCTCCGTGGATCCTTCCAGGTGTCCAATGAGCGTGATGAGTCGTGCTCGTGCGACTCGCAATCGGTCTCCCGCAAGGCTGTGTCTAACATAGAGCTTCGACCCTTCTCGCGAAGATATTTCGCTCCACAAAACTGCCAGTTAAGGTAACTGAGCCGACGGGTCTGGGAACTGAGACGAAGCCTTGCCCGCGAGGCTGCTTTCTTCGGTTGACCTGCCCAACACAGGTAGCCCTGAGGCCGCAAATGAATGCCGTTGTCCAACACCCAAGGTACGATAGCCCGCTATCAACGAATTCATTCAGGACAGCAATCTTTAAATGCGAACATACTAACCGCTAGAAGATCATCGGCAAGCAGGATACTCTGACGAAGCATCAAAATCACCACACAGAAATCACCGGACAGGCACAGTTGAGCAGAAAGCTGCCGAGGTGCATGCGAAACCTTCCTCCACGCAGCCTCAAAGTCAATGGAGAAACTCGGCGGCCTCGCCTGCTGACAAGCCATTATCTATTTCCCCCAATTCCGAGCTTCAGCCTGTCATGTCAATCTGCTATATCTTGAATCCCGATATACAGCAGACAAACACGCTGTGATTTCAAGAAACGGCGCGACTTCGAGCAAGCAAAGGTTTAGCTTTGAGCAAAACGGCCAGTTCAGTTGGCACCAGCAAGGTTCAGTTCGGCAAGCCTCGGAGTCTCGCCCCTCACGGGTCGTTATCGAAGCCCGTCGCCGGTATTTGAATCGGGAATGAGTACTTAGCCTTGTCCACCCACGTCTTGTGAACTCTCTTCACTGATCACCTCCCGCATCCTTCGGGCAATATCCTTCCAATGGGTCCCTTCAGCGTTATTGACAGCAATGACACCCGGAGTGAGGATTTGGAGCACGAGTTTCGATGTCAACTGCGACCCAGATTTTTAACCTACTAAGGTTTTGTGCCAAAAGTGACGAATCTCTCTCGTCCTTCCCGCGGGCTCGGGTGTGGCATATAGCCGAACTCACCGGCTTGCCTGGATTATATTGGGGCGGGAGAGAACTTTGGTAAACATTCAAGGTGTTCATCCCACCACTACCAATAGGAAAATTGCTAGTAGGACTGAAAGGTCTAGGATAGTACCATCACCTTCATTGTGCATCTTGCTCACTGCCAAGAGCGATCTTGACTTGAATCTGTGGCGAGACTTGAAAGCTCGTAATAATCGGCTACCTTCTAGGTGTGCAGTTGAAATGGTGAGATGGTAAACCAAAGGAACAGAAATCCCTTTGAGCTGGTACATCCATCGAGCCATCCTAACCAACTTTTCTGATTGCGAGGAACATATTGCAACACTAGTGGGCCGCAGACGCACAGGTAATAGTTCTACTGCAACTAGCATAAAAGCCCTATGGACTAAGTAGCTCATCTTCTCCGGACCCCCACCCCCACCCACCATTCCCCCCTCTACCCCCCTCCTCCTTTCCCTTCCTGCCCTTCCAGCTCTGGCTGCAACTCGGGTTTGAAAACCGGCTTTTGGGGGCAAGTCCCGAATTCTCTCTGATTTCAGGTCAAGCCCAAGTGCTTCCTCTCGCTTTTCTGCTATCCTCATTCGGCCAACGTTAAGCACACCCAACTGTTCTCCGTCGCGTGGGCCTTTGATCATGTCGGACTTGTTCACGAAACCTCCAAAGAGTCGATCGCGAGCTTCGCGGGCATGCCAGAGGTGCAGTCAGCGGAAAGTACGATGCGATGTCGCCGAGTCGGGCGTCCCTTGTAGTCGATGCCGTCTTGACGCCATACCAGATTGTTCCTTGTCTCTCTCGCGAAGAGGCACCTACCAGAGAACGCAGATGTTTCGGCGCAGGCCGAGAGACGAGACATCAATGCGAAGTGTTTCAGTAGGCAACCCCGAGCTTGGTTCTGGTGCGCTGACCCCATCAAAGTCCTGCAGCCAACCGACGTTGATTCAGGGAATGAAAACGAACCAGATCGCGATGTCTGATGGCCTATCTGGACCCCAGACAAACGTTGTCAGCGGTGATCCAATTACGATATCCCACGGTATGCCCGCGGTATCCCAGTCTCCAGTTGAGAGGCATTCAGTCCTGGATTCAGCTTGCTCTTCCTCAGTCACCTCGGATGAAAATAGAACTGCTGCACAAGCGAAAAACCGAAACTCGTTGGCTGGAATGTTCGAAGACTTCCTCGACAACCAAGGCCATACCCATGAAGGATCGGTCCCCAAACTAGGAGTGATCTTCTTTAGCGAGAGCTCCCCCTTGACCTTTGCTCTCGAAGAGCTTCAACGGTCGGAGCAACGAAGCCTTTACGACCCGGTCTCGCATATCAATGAGGGGGGAGTTGTGCAGCGTAACACACATCCGTCCCACATGTCTCCACAGGATATCGCCTATCTCCAATCCAAGGGCGCGTTTGAAAGTCCTAGTGCTCGGATCTCGGCCACTCTGGTCGCCGCGTTCCTCGACAGGTTTTATCCTCTTTATTCTATCATAAATAAGGATCAATTTATGGAACTACACGAGCAACAAGGCCTTCCGTGGATTCTCCTACACACAGTGTGTTTTATTGGGGCCACATTCTGCGACATCAGTGCCGTACATCAAGCGGGCTTTGAAGGCAGATGGCATGCGAGACGCTTCTTCTACGACAAGGCCAAGGTTTTGTTTGATGTGGGCTATGAGACGAACAAAGTGGTCTTGCTACAGACGGTCATCATGCTTTCCTTCTGGGGTCCTCAGATGAAGAGCTTCTGGAACCCTTGCTCTTGGATTGGGTTTGGTTCAACTATTGCCGAGTCTCTGGGCATCAACCGACGCAACCAGTCGACGCGGATCGATCCCAAGTCAAAGAGTCTTTTACGGAGGCTATGGTGGACTCTTGCTGTACGCGATGCATATTGCGCTGCACTTCTAGGCCGGCCTTTCCGCATCAATATCTCTCAATGCGACACAGAAATGCTCGATCTGGCCGATTTTGATCACGACACCGATTGTGCAATCACGAATAGAGACAGTAATTGTCACACTCACTATACGTATCAGATTCAGGTTGCGAAGCTTTCACTCGTCCTCCGAAAAATCGTCGAAGTGCGATTCGGCCCCCCTAACCATTCCATCACCCTTCAAGACCTTCATGAATTGTCAAACCGATGGCAAGCCGACTTGCCTCGGGAGGTTGACTGGTCGCTCCACAGTACCCCAAATAACCCCTATGCCACATATCTACGCGTCATCTTCAATCATCACCTCATATTTATTCACCTGAATAAGCCCCATTCTGCGGACAATCTCAGCACGGATCAGCAACACGACAACAGTGTATTCCACATCGCCGAGTCTGCCGCGCAGATGATATCATCCACTGCATTGTCTTTGATGACAAACTCTATAGTAGGGTTAATGCCACACGAGGTCTTTCCGGGCTTCTTTATTGCCGGAATTGTGTTTTATCGGCAGTTTCGACAGTCGCAACAGTCTGTCTACGCTCAGCTAGGCCGTGCAGCCCTGGACAACTGTCAGATGGTAATGAACGAAGCCCGCGAACGCTGGGATCCGGCGTTATGGGCCATGAAAATATTCGACTTTCTTCTGTCAGGCGCCAACGGCTTTACCAAAACGCCCTCGTCTTGGGCCTTGCAGAATCCTCCCGCCGGTGTGGGGCCTGTACAATCAGAGACTACGCAGGAAGACCCGAACGACGGCTCAACCATAGGCGTACCTGACAAGAATGTCTTGCACTCGATCGACTTAGAGTCACCACAATACGAAGATATGAACAGGACTCTCGATGACTTCTTCCTGATTCCCAGTTATTTTGACTCTACACCAGACGTTTGGTGAAGCGCGGTCAAGCAGGCTTGCAACGCAATACGGCAGAAGAGGGTGGAAATGCGGAATCCGAAAGTAAAGAAAAGACCAAGTCTGTCTATTCATTGGTACTGAAGTATGCAAAAACATTCTGTGCAAGCAATTTGACATAAGCACACCTGAGAGAGATCAAAGTAGCACCCGGTAAGATGGTAATACGTCTTTTCTAGTCGTACGTACCACACGGAAGAAGGGACGCTTCGTAGACGCGCTCCTTCATCCCGGCTCTTTCAAAGTGAGAAGCCCCGGTAATCGAGGAACGGCGGACAACCCGTGGCAGGGTCTCGATTTCCCCGAGCCGATGTGGGTCTACTGAGAGCCGACGCTATAGGGGACGCGACAGAACCGCATACCCCTACTCACTCGAACCAAAGCTTCTTACCTATTCGAATCTGCGAATTCTTCCTCCCTCAGAGTCCTCGTCTTGCCGATTTTGATTGTGCCAGTTCGAGACGTGACTATGGCCATCGCAAAAAGCCCCTTCCCTCGGCTCAACATACCAGAGAAGGACATTTTCTCGTTCCTCTTCCAAAGGGAGGATCGACCGTTCCCTGAGCAACACCGTAAGTATGAATCTAGCATGAGCTGCGCAGAAAATCTAATGGTTTCAACTATTCACAGCGATCTTCCAAGATGCAGACACTGATAAAATCTATACTTACGCTGACATCAAGCGTATGGCTCTGGATTTCGGAGCAGGATTAAAGGCCCGATTTGACTGGAAGAAAGGAGATGTTATCACCCTTTTTGCTGCCAACGACATCGACTCTCCAGGTGTAATACTTGGCACTCTGTGGGCGGGCGGTGTAGTTACTCCTGCAAATGCTGGGTATACTGCTCGAGAACTTGCGTACCAACTCAAGGATAGTGGAGCACGCGTCGTCGCTACCCAGTACCACTGTTTGCAGACGGCCCGGGAGGCCTGCAAGACCGTTGGCATCTCCGAGGATTGCATCGTGCTTCTGGGCCAGCAGCGTGATCCAACTGGACGAGTGCAACATTATACCTCTATCCGCAATACCAGCGGTGCAACTAGATACAGACGGAATAAAATATTGCCCAAGACCGACATTGCCTTTCTCGTCTATTCCTCTGGAACCACCGGCAAACCAAAGGGGGTTCGACTTTCACATTACAACTTGATCTCCAACGTCTGCCAGCTCCAACCTGGCGAACAATATAATCTCACATGGGATGGCTCGAGGACGACCGCCGATATACCCCTTCCGCGGGCAGGCGCAGGAGGTGACAAGATCCTGGCATGTCTTCCTTTCTTTCATATTTACGGGTTGACTACCACGATTCACAATCCGCTCTATACCGGGACGACTACGATAGTTCTATCGAAATTCGAAATCGAAAAGTGGTGCTCGCTGGTGCAGAAGCACTCCATCACGTTCTCATACATCGTTCCACCCATAGTGTTGCTCCTTTGTAAACACCCGGCCGTCTCCTCCTACGATCTCTCCAGCATCCGCATGACCAACTCCGGAGCGGCACCACTGTCGCGCGAAATGGTTGAATCCTGCTTCAAGAGAACTGGGATTCGAGTCAAGCAAGGTTACGGACTGTCTGAGACGAGTCCGACGGCGTTCAATCAGCCCTGGGATGACTGGAACGTCACAATTGGCAGTGTAGGTCAGGTGCTGTCTAACATGGAAGCTAAAATCTGTGTCCCTGTCGACCTCAGCAGCGACGAGTGCGCCAGCTCGTCCGCGTCAAGCGACCATCACCAAGATGCAGCTCCGTTGCCGTTTGGCACGATCGGTGAACTTCATGTCCGTGGGCCCAACATCTTCATGGGCTACCACAATATGCCCGACGCAACCGCTGGGTGCCTTTCACCTACTGGATGGTTCCGAACTGGTGATGTTGGTTTCCTGGATCCCAAAGGGAACTTGTTCATTACGGACCGTGTCAAGGAGTTGATCAAGTACAAGGGCTTCCAAGTTGCGCCCGCCGAGCTGTAAGTTCCTTGGAATTTAATGTCCCCAAAGAAGCTATCGACCTTGCCCGCAACAACACCTCTCAAGAGGCTATTTCTCAAGAGTCACCCTGAGTTGTTGTTCTTTCATACTTTTACGACAGGCTAATTTCGTGCGTGTACAGGGAAAGTTATCTCCAGGAGCATCCTTTCGTCGAGGACTGTGGCGTTGTGGGCGTCCCAAGTACAGCTCTAGGAACCGAAGTGCCCAGGGCATACATCGTGCCAAAAGGGAGACTCACCTCACTGGCTGCTGGTGGAGCAGACCGAGAACGAGCCCAAGCACAGGCAATTGTGACTTGGCTCAACGGGCGGGTGGCCAACCACAAAAAGTTGAGGGGTGGCGTCAAATTCGTAGCGGAGATTCCCAAGAATGCCAGCGGCAAGATATTACGTCGAATCATGAAAGAATGGGTCAGGGACGAGGTCATAAACGAGCCGTGCTCCAGCGTCGGAGCCCCTCGTTCTAAGATTTGATAGAGTGGGAGACGGAAACAACTTGGCTTTGTTGCAGATTCAACGAAGTTTCATGGCAGCGGGCAAAGTTGATTAGTAAAGGTGCATTTCAGAACGAGAGCTGAGGAATTTCGGGCACCCTTGAGTCCTGGCTATTCACCTCCCGATAGGTTATTATCACATAATTCGGACTGGAAGAGCACATGAAAATCGTGATCATATTCTCCTTCGAGAATTGTTTTGACCTCTTGTCTCCCTGACATTGGACTCCCAAGCGCTGCTCGAGTCAAACCCTCAGGCTGCAATTCCACCACGGTCTCGTCTTTGGTAGCATGCGACGTCAGACGTTCCTGTAATTGCTGAGTCCCATCTTGAGACCGACCATCCATCATCTTGCCTCTGCGCTTGACCACTTCATCCATGAGCACGTATGGATCTTGAAGGATCGTCGGGGCCAAGGATAAGAAGAGCTCGCGCTCATTCGAGGTCAGCGTAGCCATGTTGACGGCCATATTCAAGCCTGGCAACGCACACACAGGGACGACGACGGACTCCTGCTCGTGCGCGGCCTCTTCTAGCGTCGATCGGTGATTAGAGCCGGAACTCCAGTCTGAACTCCGACTGCCGACACTGTCTCGGAGCTCCCGGGTATTGTTGGCGCCGTCGTCGTCATTATCGGTCCTGTCCGATGTGGGTGGCATCGTCATTGTTCCATGCCGTGCCACGTCGTGGGCACAGAACTTCTCCCAGGAGCTATAGTGCTCCGCGGAGAGTCGCTTGAGCCAGTCTGGACAACGCTGATGGTCAGATGTGTCCATCCCCAATGGACCAACACGCAACTGTGGCCCAGAGGCGAGCCTCTCGAACATGTCTGCTCTTACATGTCCTGTCCGATGCCGTGGAAAGCCATTGTCTACTATATGGCTTCGACATCGTAGTAACTTTTTGTCGGGTCTGCACAGTGGTCTGTCATGAATGGACATGAATTCTCCTGTGAGTTTGGTGATTGGGGATCGTCTGACGCACTGTATGGCCCAGGTGGGCGAGGGCGATGCACTTATTTTGTTCTTGTTTGGGTGTTGCTGCTGCTGCTGCTCCTCCTGCTGCTCTTCCTGTACCAGGAACGTTTCTGATTGTTGTAACTCTTCTCGGAACTCTGTTTCCATCGCTTGAAGGACAATCTGGGCCAAAGGATCCCCCGTTGGGGAACCACCAGGATGTTTTTTTGGTCGTAATGGTCCTATTCAAGGAAGCGTCTCTGCGGCGGTCTCTATAATATATTGGAATCAGGAGTCCCTGTCTTCAGTGTACGGCCTTTTTTCACCCCTATGCCATGTGGGCAGGATACTGTTTACTCCTTTGATGGCGGAGTCGATCAAGGTTAATGGCGTGGTTTTTATCACTCTACGTCCGAGCAAGATTCCGAACTCTAGTCGAGGCTACCGAATCAGGCGAGTCTCGTGCCAAGAATCGTCGTGGTTTATTTGCGTTGCTCTCTATGCCGAAAAGAGGCGGCTCGGATATTCTTCACGCACACCTTCCCGCGGCTTTATGCTATTACCGCTTACATGCCGCCGCCGATGAGAACCTCTGCTCGAGAAAAGAGAGGATGTCTCATTTTCTAGATCGAGACATCAAAGTTTCGGGGAATAAGTACAATTTGATTCAATGATGTAGCAAAGTTGCGGTTCTGATTCGTGCCACCCATCAATGTCCGACCCTTTGCCAGGGCAGGATGATTACCCCAAGCAGACTCAATACAAACTCGAAGGAATGAAAAAAAAATTCAATGTTAAAACATGTAGATGTAACCTAGCTGAGAGTGACGGTCAGGAGAACCGTCCTCCTGACCGAACACGAAAACCGACCTAGGCAAGATTCTTGAAGCCTTTCAAACCATGATCCATGACATCTCGAAGCGTTTGCCTGTAATTCGCTAGACCACCAAAGTAGAACATGACGGCAGGCTTCTTACCCGGCACGTTTGCGCCAAAGATCCAAGAGTCTGTCTTGCGGAAGAGACTGGACGTACTCAATTTGTCACATAAATCGGTCCATTCATCCTCAGCTTCAGTTGTGGCCTCAATGGCGATAGGGACGAGACGACTCGAATTGTTGTTGCCATTAGTCTGTGTCGGTGCGGCATGATTATTGCCGTTGACGTGACGGTCCGACGTAGCTCCTCCAGGCTGTCTTGCAACCATTTTCTCGGCTGTCTGGATCAGATCAGAGATGAACTCGACCTGAGTCTCGATCGTGGGAGGCAGATTCGTGAAAGGCCCGTTGGGACCCAGGATCATAAACATATTGGGGAAATTCGGTACTGAGACGCCCAGGTATGAAGTTGGCCCGGCTTCGCTCCAATGGTCTTTGAGGTTGGTACCGTCGCGACCTCGGATTATTATGCGAGTGTAGTTGCCGTCCACGGCGTCAAACCCAGTGGCGAAGATGATGACATCAAGTTCGTGGATCTTACCATCGCTGGTCTTAATCCCCGTCTGAGTGATCCCGGTGATAGGCGTTTCCTTGAGGGAGACTAGCTCCACGTTATCTCGATTGAAGGTCTCGTAGTAGCCCGAATCGCAGAGGGGCCGGCGAGCGTAGTAGTCGTATGGCGTCAGCTTGCGCGCGGTCTCGGGATCCTTGACAATAGCATGGATCTTACGCCGAATGAAGTCGGCCGCAGCGTGGTTAGCGGCTTCATCGTACGAGATGTCGCAGAATGTCCAGAACATGAACTTAAAACCGCCGCCCATCTGCCAGGCCTGTTCGAAGATGCGCTCCCGCTCCTTTTCGGTGACACTAGACATAGGCCGCTTGCTCTCTTCAAAGCCAAACGCAAACATACTGTTCTTGGCCTTTTCCCAGATCTGCTCATATCTGTCGTTGACATCCTTGCGATAATCAGGATGCACCTCACGGTCTCCACTGGGAACACTGTACTGCGGCGTCCTCTGGAAGCTAATCAGCTGTTTAGCAACCTGCGCAACAGCAGTGATCACTTGCACGCCCGTAGATCCGTTCCCAATCACGCCCACTCGTTTGTCGGTTAAGTCGAGCCCCTCGGGCCACCGAGCGGTGTGATGGATTTCTCCCTTGAAGGCCTTAATGCCTGGGATATCCGGGAGATTTTGTCGCGATAACAGACCTAGCGCAGTCACCAAGTATTTGCACTTAAAGACCTGACCGGTCGACACCTCGACCACCCATCGCCGCTCAGACTCATCCCACTGCGCCTTGGTGAGTTCCGTTTGGAATTGGAAGTATTGTCGCAGATTGTGGCGTTCGACGACGTGCCGTAGATACATCAGTACCTCCAACCCTTGAACGTAGTGGCGCTGCCATGGGTAGGCCCTCAGGTCTTCGAGATCCCAAGAATAACGGTAGAGGAAGGATTCGGTGCTACCATTAGTAGTCAGATCTCTATAGTTCCGGGTCAAGTTTGTAGACGCACTCTGACATAGCCCCGGGGTATCGATTCCAATACCATGTTCCGCCGACATCATCAGCAATGTCAATCACTTTGACGGTAAGATTTTGATCCAACAGCTTCTTCAGCTGATAAATGCCCCCGAACCCGGCTCCCACGACGAGCGCATCAAGGTAATGGATGTTCATCATGCCTTTGACACCAACTGCGATTGGAGAATGGAACACTGCGATGAAGTGGGTCGGATCCGAACAGACGCAGCCTTGTCAAAAGAGCCGACAAGATAACTTCGAAGTCTTGAATCTGAATTTATAGCAGCCCAAAGGGTGTCCCTTTCTACATACCTATGTAGTTCGATCTTGCCCGTGATCACTCCACCCGAGTCCAAATACCAGGCCATCTGCTGATCCTTCGCTTTGTTTGCGGGTGAAAGTCTTTTTCCCCCCAACGGGTGTGTCACTAGATGTCGTGTCTCGGGGGTCCTCCAGACGACGCGCCGAACGGGATCCGAGATGAAGATGGCTTTCTGGTAATACTCCGTGGAGAGGTTATGGGGCGGCTCCGGCTATATGCATGTACCTCATGTCCACCACGGGTAAGGGAAAGATGACCCCGGGTGTTTTTGAGGCCTAGGGGTATATCTCGATCTTCCCAGCGGGTATTTCCTATCCAACCAGGACGCGGTGGCAACGTTCCTTCTAGAAAGTTTAGGAGTTAGCCTTTAGTGGCTAATTCGATGGTTTCTGACAAGATGTGAAGCGGTGGGTCCTGAACGCGTCGTAATGCTTCCTTGCCGTCAGGATGATTCAAAATTTGACCTCGAAAACAGTGGCTATAGGTCACCCATAGTTACACTCTTTACGACTTGATACTCGGCCAGTCCATACTTGCTACCCTCCTTGCCGTAGCCTGACTCCTTGACGCCTCCAAATGGGCACCCAGCCTCCGCAATCCTCGCCGTATTTACCCTCACTATGTCAACCTATAGGGCCTTGGCCACGCTCCATATGCGGCGATAGTCGTAGGAGACGAAATAGCCAGCCAGCCCGAATTCGGTGTTGTTGGATATTTCGACGACTTCTTCCTCCTTGTCGAAAGTGATAACGGGTGCAATGGTGCCAAAGATTTCTTCATGCGCGAGTGCCATGCCTGGCTTAATGCCGGTAATCAAGGCTGGCTCAATGAAATTCCCAGAGAGGTCATCACGGATCTTGCCCCCCACGACCAGTGTGGTACCTTTGGAGACCAATAAGTCGCAGCGTGGTCGCCACAGCCGCCTTATTCATCAATGGGCCGTTGGTCATCGTGGGGTCGAATGGCGATCCCGCCTTAAGGCTTTGCATGCGACCCTTTAATTTGAAGATGAAGGTGTCGGAGATGGGCCGTTGGACAAAGACACGGTTTGCACAGATACAGGTCTGACCGGAGCAACGGAACTTGCAACCCATGAGGGCCGCAATGGCCTTTTTGATATCGGCATCCTCGAACACGATGAACGGAGCGCTGCCACCAAGTTCCATGGAAATCTTCTTCATGGTCATGGTCACCTTCTCCGTGATGGCTTTTCCAACCTTGGTAGAACCGATGAAGCTCACCTTTTTCACGGCAGGATTGGTTAGATCTCAACTGCAGCTCGATTCCTAGCGGGGACTACCTGCATAACGTTGGGGGGAAGGCCAGCTTCTAACGCCAGCTTCGCCAAAGCGAGAGCGCATAATAGAGTCTCGCTGGGGGGTTTGACCACTACAGTGCAGCCGGCGGCGATAGCGGGAGCAATCTTTCTGGTGATCATGGCAATGGAGAAGTTCCAAGGTGCGACGATACCGCAAACTCCAATAGTTTGCTTGGTCACGATCGTTGTGGTGTCGGGGAACGGAGATGGAATCACATCGCTATGAGAGCGGATTGCTTCTTCTGCGAACTAAGCCACTATAGCTGTACCGGAGGCAAGATCTGCCTCCGCCTCCGGCAGAGTCTTCCCGTTCCCGAACGTAAGTAATTTGCTCAAGTCACCAGAGCGCTTCCGAATGAGCGTGGCCCAGTCTCGAAGTGTCTGGGCTCACACGTACTCCTTCGTCCGAGAGAAAGTGCTGAATTCCAACTCGGCATAACGCACGGCGTCTTTGAAGTCTTGAGCCTCCATGTTCGCGACGTTTGTTGCCGGCTTGGTCGTACACGGGGATTTGAAGTTCAGCCAGGCAGACCAGGTCAATTGCCCTCGGGATCGAAGGGACCCCAGACGTGATTCACTCCGCTTTTGCCTACGACGTGACTGCCTTGATATACCCTCTAAACGACCCAGTCTCTTCGAGGATTATAGGAATCTCATCCTCGCGTAAAGAGGTCAGAGTGTCCTTCTCGCGGGGCCGCCACCCCAAGTTTCTAAGGCGTCTGGCCCTGTTCCTCGAGTTGGACCCTGCTACAGTGTGCGAGAACTGCTGGCCAAAAAGATTATCATACAGGCTCTCAGGAATGGTCCTGGTGTCCGGCGATTGGAGTTTCCCCGCACGGTACAGATTCTCGCCAATCTCAGCCGCACATGCCTGTCATGACAGCTCCTCGCCGTTCTCACAAAAGAAGTAAGAGTTTTGACATATCTCGTCGCTGTCGTCGCCTTCGAGCCAGTGTAACAAAAGAACATAGGCCCGTGCAAGGTCAGCTACGTGGACCTGAGACCACACCGAAAGACCCTTGCCTATGTGCACGGCATATCCATGCTTAATTGAATAGCAAACCATCGTCGGTAATTGGATGGAAAGACGATTCTCCTGGACACTCACACCGTAGATAAGTGGCGGATCATGATGGCTATCTTTGCCATCTTGCCCAACTGCTGTTTTGCCTCCAAAATCGCCAGATCAACGAGACGGTGCGGAGCAATATCTGACAGCGCATCGATATCTTCGGGTTTGTCGTCACAGTAGATCGTATCGCTTTTAAAGTTGGCAGATGAATCGTCTCCAAGGAGACTTGCTCCGCTGGTGTGGGCGTAGATGGTAGATTTGCTCGCCTTGGATCGTGCTTCGATGCCTTCGAGTACCGCCCCGACTGATGGCAAATCGTCAGCAGTTGCGGTGTGGAAGACGATGCCGACTTGTTCGACCTGCTCGCGGATTTTGTCCTTGCCGCCCAATGAGGCCAGAATCACCTTGGAACCGGCCTTTTTGAGGGACAGAGCGGCAGACTCGCGACCCACCATTGTCGTGACACCGTAGTTTTCTGCAACGAGAAGATCCAATACTTCACCTCCGATGAAGCCGGGTCCAACGAGGAAGATCCTGCGGTTCGACGCCATGATGGAAGCGATTATGGACAATATTGTTAAAGGCGGACCTTGAGTTAGACTGCAAAATTTATTACCAGGTCTTCGATTTCCTTTGATCGCTGGTTGACTGAGTATGTCAGGATGCCGATCGAGATTTGTTCTCAAGTCGTCGTTGCCTGAGATCAACTAATCCAAGCTTGACGGACAAGAGGTTGCCGCTCTAGCTTACCGATCTTTCGGGAAGAGACACTTCCATTGCGGGCCGCGGGGCACAGGGAGAAGACAACATCCCGATTGTGCGTGTTGACTATTTGGTTGCCCTAATTTGAGCTTTGACAGAAGGAAGTTTTAGTATCTACCCGTCGGCGCGTTGCGGGAAACTTTCGAGGAACGAAAAGGGGTTCGGATTGAGTGACAATACAAGGTCCCGAACCGAGTGTCGGAGTCGAATTACGAAAAGCGAGAGCGCCTGGCAATGGGCGTTGAGTCCAGCACTCTAGGTGCTCCCTCTGCTGACTCTGAAGAAATAGATTGGCGCTCGATTGATTCGCGGGTAGCTTGTGTGTGAGTCAAAGCACCAATGTTACTGCTATCTCTATTCTCGATCTAAACACGGAGAAAGTGATGGTGTAACAAGCAAGATTTCCCTACCTTATCGTGTTGTGAAAAGTAGGTTCTGTGCAATTGCATTGATTCATATTCTGTGTCGTATTCCCTCTTCTGTCTTGCACTTCAGCAAGCCGCTTCCCATCTATAAACAAATTGGCCTGTGATCAGGAGTAATCCTGCAAATCCCTTGAAACACTGAAGAGGGCCTCCTGAGGGCCGTGAAACAGGCTCAAACAGTGTTCGCTGAGGCCCTGACTGGGGTGCCGAGGTGGCACCCTCAACAGATCGGACTGATAGTTGCTCTACCTAGACTACAATCTACAGTTTGCTCGAAATATCTGGCTTCTCGTTCCTAAATAACGTATTGCTCTTGGGATACGGGTCGATGGTGAGGTCGTTGAGGGGATTGACCTCGCTTTCACGATGAAATAAGTCTTCGTAGTGTAATGGGAGAAGTTTGAAGTGGTGGATAGCGTTATGATTGGCTGGGGCGTCGACCCTAGACTAGGGTTCTTCTTATATAGTCCTCGGGGACTATCATTTCATAGATTTAACAATTAACCAAGTTACCAACAGAGAGGACTTCCTTTGGTTGAGGGTGCGTGTTGGGAAGAGGCGATGCCTACCGCCGTACGAGTTGATGCCCATGGCTAGTAGCCTCGCCCCAGTTCACTAGCTGTATACTATGTCCTAGCCAGAGCCACAGGGTTTCACGTCTTTCGTTCAGAGCCCACTTTTTGTATACTCTTCGTGCTGGATGACAACCTTATTGTCACCACCGGCGACCTTAACTGAGATTTGGGTGCGCTGGGCAGCGATTTCCTCACGAGCAAGGCATGTCGCCTCTTTCCACGACATGTTCTTGCCTCCATGATATTTGTTTTCGAACATCTTGTCAATCTCCTCCAGGGTCAATCCCGCGGTCTCGACGTAGAAGTACCAAATAAATGGCACCCACGCGAGATTGAGTGCGCCAAAGATAATGTAGAATCTCCAGCCAATATTTGCAATCCCTAAGAATCATAGGTCAGAGAAAGGTTGTGCTAACAGCGAGAAGCGTAGGCGTCGTGGCTTACCCGTGGGAGTGATCAAGACCACGACATAAACGAACAACCATTGGACCATCATAGCGATAGAGGTGCCTGTATTACGCATTCGGTTGCTGTTCACTTCGGAGGGATACATGAACGGGATCGACAAGAATGACAGCCCCTATTCCACGTAAGTGATGAGAACTCTGTACGCGCATTTGGACTTTCAGAACTCACAAAAAAAAGGTGGTAGAGGAAGATGAAAGCCACGGCAACACCACTTGATGCCTTGGAGCCCACGCCCAAGCCTGCCGCAGTGATGGAGAAACAAACCCCTTGGCCGAAAGCGCCAAAGAGCATCATTTTCTTCCGTCCCGCGCGGTCGATGAAGAAACACATGAGGAGTCCCCAGATCACGAGAGAGATGAAATCGCAAGCTGACATGATCAACGCTGTGCGGTCCGAGAAACCAAAGGACTGGGTCAAGACAACCGGCATGTAGTACACCACGACATTGATTCCTCCCATCTGTTGCATTAAACTGCATCCGGCACCGAGGCTAATGCGGCGGAAGGTTTGCTGTTCTCCATTCGAGAAGACCTCCCTCCAGCTGACTTTGGATGCTGATTTCTCGTGGGCTACCGTGTCGACAATCAATTGGAAAGCCTTTGAGACTTCGGGGCTGCTGATGTCTCTGGCCTGAAGACGACTGATGACATAACGAGCCTCTTCGTGACGGTCCTTCATACATAGCCAGCGGGGGGATTCTGGCATAAAAAAGAGCATGGCGATCGCAACGACGGCAAAGAAGGCTTGGAATGCCAGTGGGCCCCGCCAGCTGACCGGGTTGTCCTGCACATAGGAGAAGCCTAGGTTCATCCAGTTGGTCAGGGAGATGCCAGAGATGACGATCGCGAGCTGGAGGGCGATCAATTTGCCTCGCTGCTTTGCTTCGCAGGTCTCACTTTGCCACATAGGAATGACGCCGGAGTTTGAGCCGATACCTAAGCCTGCGATAATGCGGCCGACGATCATCTGGCCGAGAGAATAGGACGATGCTTGAATGGTGCCTCCAATGATGACCGTGAGACAAGATAACCCGATCATCTTTCGTCGCCCCAGTTTGTCGCCAATGAAAATGGTCGCCATGGCTCCGAGGATACATCCTATGTCGTACGTCGACACGATCTGTCCCTGGATGGTCGCGTTAGGATACTTGAAGGTCTTCAAGAACAAGGGATTGCCCAGAAGACCGCCAAAGACACCTTGATCGTAGCCGAAAAGGAGAAAAGCAATTCCACTGTTCAGAGTGATACCGGCGGTGAGCCACTTGCCCTTGAGTGAGCCCAGCCACATGGTGCCTAAAGTACGCTGGTACGACAAAAGGAGGATGAATTAGTGGGTACGCAAGTAGGCTGATAATTAAAGGGAGAATATTTGAAACAGGTGCTGCTGGACTTCGGATTAAAACAATACAGAGTTGACTCACGGATCGCTTTATATAGACCCAAGGTGTCGATGAACAACCGCTGCTTTGATGTCTCGCTTCTCGAGCGGAGTCTCCACAAAGGGCTCGCTTGCAGGTACCAAACTGCGAATGAACTTTTTCGGCTCGGAAAAGACATATAGCCGGCCGGAAAAGTTACGTCCACGAGGGACCAGGAGTGAACTGAATTACCCCGAAACGTAGTGAGCAAGGCTATCGAACCACGAGTGGTTCTAGTGATGGATCGGCGAGATAGCCAGGTGCCTGATCGTGGCATTGATGCCAAATTGAGGCTGCGAACGCCTTACGAGCATCTCCTTGTGCTAAGAACTGTCTTATCTCAGGTGAAAGAAACAAGCAAGAATGGGACGCGGCAATGGCAAGGGATTGACTGTAATAGCTCAATCAATGACTGGCTAGTATAGCTATCTATTTGTTGGTGGGTTATCTCTGAGGAGCGAAAGGAGAACGAGGGGGGAGACTGGGTTTAGAGAAGATCAAATAGCCCTCAGTACACCTTCCCAATTCCCAGGCTAGCAGTCGAACCTTCCCTTCCAGCAGTGTCTACAAGTGAGAAGAACAGAACACGAAAAGCATAGCTTGAAGGCGTTACAAGGATCACAAGGGAACTTCAGAGGATCGAATGGAGTTCACTGGTTTTTCACGCCATCTAAGGATGGCTGGATCAGGATCTTGACATGATGTTCCTTGTTCTGAATCAATTCCATGAATCCGCCTTGCACAATGTCCTCCAATGGTACCACTGAGGTAACAAAGTCATCGGCTGGGACAGCCCCAGATCTGATGGCCTCCAGAGCTATCACAAAGTCTTCATTTGTGTAGCAGATACCACCCATGAACTTCTTCTCCTGAAAAGCGAAATCGTTAGGATTGAATGACAAGGGCTTCTCATGGATAGCAACATTGAAAACCACACCTCCCGGCTTAACCGCAACAACGGCTGAGTCGAGAGTGGCTTGAAGGCCCGTAGTATCGAACGAGATATCAGCTCCATCAGGTGAGAATTTTTGAATTGCTTCCAGCAGCGGGTCGATACGCGAGAGAGACGCCTGTCGCGGATCGACCACCTCGTCCGCGCCGAATTTCTGCGCTTGTAGGATTCTCGATTCAGCAATTTCACTGATGACAACGGCAGACGCGCCCAGGGCTTTCAATAGGAGTAGAAGGGCAAGTCCGATAGGACCAGCGCCTAGCACGGCAACACAGTCACCCTTCTTGAAGCCTGAGAGCCTGATCATATGGGAAGCCACGGCAAGTGGCTCGGCGAGTGCCCCCGCTTTCAGACTCACGCCCTCAGGCAAAGGGATGCAACAGTGGGAATTGACCACGACTTCATCAGAGAAGCCACCTCCAGGTCCGCTGAGTCCCAGACAGGCCCATCGCTTGCAGATGTTTGGCCGACCGGCCCGACAAGCAGTGCAGAGCTCCAAACCATACGTCACATCATCGAGTGAAGGGTTGACGGCGACATGCTGACCCAGTTGGAACCCAGTAACCTTAGAGCCAATCTCAATGATAGTACCAGAAAACTCATGTCCGAGAACGACTGGGAGAGAAACTCCTGTGTGGGGGTTTTTGCAACCGTGTTGAGGAGGAAATATTGGACCTCCCAGGTATTCGTGCACATCAGTGCCACAAATCCCGCAATATGCGACCTCGACCCGTAGCTCGTCTGGGCCACATTCTCTGGGCGGGATCAGTTACGATTCTCAAGCTCAAGAACCGCCTTGGAAGTCTGCAACTTACAGTGCAGGGATGGTGTCCAACCTGACATCTCCCTTGCCGTGGAAACGAACGGCTTTGATCATGGTCATTAGTGCGACGTGGCTAGAATCTTATTACGCTCGGCCCAACTTACCACTGGCCAACCAGTGGTGAGTTTCGAGATCGTCCTTGGTAAGAGATCAACAGTTCGCAAATCTGAGTGCCATGGAGCCTTCGAATATATGACAAATTTTCTCACCGGAAATGAGCCATTTCGTCGAGTGGGGACAAACGAGCTGATATTTGTTCAGTTCCTTAGGATCTGGAGTGAAGTCCGCGGCGTCTCTGTTCCGCGGTAATCACCAGGAGAAATCATTGTCGCTTAGCACAATCGAAGTCGAATTTTTCTGCGCTATAACCGATAGAATCACCTGATAGCTCGTTTTGGCTGGGACTGGCATTAAGACGCCACCCTTCTCAGCCAGTCTAACATGGTAACACACGCATACTCTGGTGACACTGGAAGAGGAACTACTTGCACTACCAATATATGCCGTGTCTCTCTTGACACGGCCGAGTGTATAGAATGGATATTGTCAGTCTAGGATCTGTGACTGTTCTCATGTGAAGACGATCCCGCCGTCAACAACCACAGTCTGTCCGGTCACAAACATAGAATTCGGACCACAGAGAAAACCTGCAACCACCTTTGCCACGTCTTCTGGAACACTGACTCGTCCCATAGCTGTCAACTCCTTAACGTATTTGTTCAGTGTCTCTCCTTTCGCTCTTCCGTCGATCGCGCCTAACTTTTCATCTATCTCTTCCCACATCGCCGTGCCCACGATTCCTGGGGCGTAACAATTGACACTGATACCATGTTTTGCTAGCTCCATCGCAAAGGTGTGCGTAAGGCCTCTTACAGCCCATTTCGATGCGCAGTACGTCGCCAACAGCGGGAAAGGCTTAAACGCAGCTATAGAAGAGCACCCGAGTATCTTGTACCCGGTACTCCCTTCCGGAACAGGACCCTGGGCAATCATTTGTTTCGCTGCAGAAGTATAGCAATTCCACACGCCTTTGAAGTTCACATTCATAATTCTGTCGACATCTGCGTCGGTTGTCTCGAGAACCGTTGCCACTTGGGCGATCCCAGCATTGGCCACCATGACAGTTAGAGGCCCCAGTTTGGACACAGACTCCTCAACCATTGAATGAAGCTCGGATGATGAACTGACATCGGCGACTACACCAATGGCCGAGCCGGCACCATATGACTTGTTGATGTCGCTGACTAGAGTGTCAATACCTTGCTTGTTGAGCGCGACATCGTTGACGGTCACCGCATAGCCGTCGGCCGCGAGACGTTGGGCGATTGCTTTACCTCTTTGCGCTCATAATGTCAGCCCATGGTCTAGTCATCAATAACAACGATGCATGGTGTTTCAACGGTCCAAAGAGAGATTGATGACCTTACATTCCCCGGCTAGATCCCGTCACTATTGCTGTTCTCCTGGGTGTTGCGCTTCCCATCATCCTTTTGAAGACTGCCGCCATCGGATTCCTGCAGATCGCCGTCAAGGTGCGTACCGTTGCCGCCATGACCGGCCACCTGTGGTCAGAATCGCGTATTGATTGGCTTGGAAAAGCTCATTTGACAACAGTGCTTTAAAGGTGGGAGGTCATCTAGAGCTGTGGATCCCCACGATAACATCAGTCCCCGCATCGATACTCCCGCATGAAGGAGACTTCTTGGCATGGAGTATCCCGGCCCGGAGGTGTCCAGAAAATGTGATTTTCCCGTATGACAAGTTCTTGGCGCTTCCATTCAGCGGCTCCGTTTGGCCAGCCCCTGACGGACCGTAAATTGCCGCGGGTATATGACCTCGGCGGGTTAGCTTGGCGAACTTCTGGGGTCTTATCCGGGGCGCTCATCTGGGGCGCCAACCTAGGGGGCCAGACCCCCTACAACGCCATATTCGTACAAATTGATAGGAGACGCCGTTTATGCCAGAGCCCAATCACCACAGACCTCTTGCCTAAAGAATACTTCATCATTCTCCGAATTTCGATTGGAAACATTCAAGAACGCCTCGACACAATGGCCCACGAGAATGGCATACCCCCAAAGACAGATGCTACTCACCTCGAAGTATCCGATAGAGGGCAACAGGGCATCCACAAGGATGTGTTTCAGCAGTCGCACGACCAAAAGGCTCACCGCAGACTTCGGCACAAGATCGATCTTCATATGATCCCTCTGTGCGCATAGCTCTACCTCTTGAATTATCTTGATCGCTCCAACATTGGCAGTGGCAAGATTCTCAACGTCGAGACCGGAGATTCTCTCCTTGAAAAGTTGAAAATGAGTGCATATCAGTACTCCAACTCCATTGTCATTACGCTATTCGTCATCATGTATAGCGCTTTGGACGTTCCCTCCAACTGGGTTTTGAAGCGCTCTGCTCGCCCGTCCTACTGGTTAGGGTTTCTCTGCTTCGACTGGGGCGCCCTGACTCTAGGATTTCTTTTTTTGAACTCCTTTGGCGGCGCCGCGGCGCTACGCATCTTCATCAGCGCATTTGAAGCAGGTTTCTACCCAGGTTCGTTGAAGATAGCCCCTTCCGAGTTTATCATCGTCTACTGACAATATCTGGGAACTAGGTATCGTCTACATCATCACTTTCTGGTATCGACAGCAACAAAGATCATTGCGAATTGCTCTAGTGTCCGCGTCATCTTCGCTAGCAGAGGCATTCGGAGGCTGTATAGCTCACGGCGTCGGCTCCCTCAACCAAAGAGGGGGCTCGAGGGTTGGCGTTGGCTCTTTGTCATTGAGGGCTTCCTAACCATCCTTTGCTCTGGACTCATGGTGTTTTTCCTCCCTAACTATCCCTCGGAAGTCAAATGGTTATCTCAAGATGAAACGACATTCTCTATTGATCGAATTGCTGAGCAAAGAAGCGGCTTCATGAGGGAGCCTGCTAGTCGGAGAGAGATCCTGGATACTTGTGTTGGCTTTCGCATGCTGACTCACTACCTGGCCTATGTAAGTTTTATAATTCTCTTCATAATAGGGATATAGGTTTGGAGAGCTTACCGATTCCTCAATTTACTTTACTAAAGTCGTGATCGTTAGCTCGATCGTTTACTTCTGTACTACTATCGTTGTAGGGCTCGGCTATAGCTCTATTCAAGCTCGACTTATGACAGTTGTTCCTTTGACCCTTGGATACGTCGTCTTCCTAATCTTTGCCTGGGGTGTCGACCATTTTAACGACCGCGGCTGGTTCATTACCGTTGCTTCGACCATTTCCGGCATCTCTTTTGTCGTCATCAATGTCTTGCCTGTCCATCAGTATTCCGGCCGCTTCGCTCGCCTAATTATCGCTTGCTGCGGTTGTTTCCCGAATACTGCCGCGTTGACCGCCTGGGTTATATGCAATGTCCCCAGCCCAAGAGCTATGGGACTGGCTGCAGCCATGAATAACATGACTGTAGGGGCTTCTTCTACTGTTGCGGTATGGATCTGGAAGGCTTCCGAGGCCGAGCGGGGATACCCTACTGGTAACATTATCTGTGCTGTTTTCATTTTGTTACCGCGGCATTGACATTGGGCTTGAGAATTCAGTATGGCAGAATGAACAAGAGACAAGTTTTAGACTCAACTGGTTCTGTCCGAGTCTAGGCGTACTGAAAAGACAGCGGAGAAAACTGATCCCGCCCAGGGTGAAAGACTTTCAGGGATAAGTGGCCAGGGATAGGGACAGCGGGAACCTAGGTCTTACAGTGGACAAGTTGAGCGTCCTCTATCTGAGATGTTACGCTATTGAAGGGATTTGCGATTACAGTAGTAACATCAACACAGAAATTGAGAGATTCAACGTTTGCGGCTGTGTACACAGCGCCGAAGGTCACATTACACGATTTCCTAGACTAATACGTGATCTGATCCATTTGCGCAAGAGTGTCCTCCTTCCAGGTCAATATACAGAAATATATGCAGACAAGGTGCGGCGCCTCAAACCACGGGAATTCGACTCGTAGACAGAGGTTTCGTCCGAAGGACACGGAGCCAACAAATCTCGACAGTTCTAACTAAAAAAAAATTGTCTTCGGCTTCCCTTAAAGCTCATACGGAAGAGATCTCTTCAATTGAGGCCTCTAGACTCCACCGTCCCAACTGGTGCCGTTTGGCGTTCTTGCCTTTCTATTCAACGTGACCGTATCCTCCATCAATCATAAAGGTACCAACGGTTACGTACGAGGCTTCTTCCGAGGCTAGCCACAGTATCGGATACACCAACTCAACCGGATCAGCCCAACGGCGTATGTTACACGAGGGCACATAGTCATCCACAGTATCCTGCCCGAGCCGCTTGAGTTGAAACTTGGTGCGGGTGAATCCTGGACAGAAGCTGTTGACACGAACGTTGTGCTCGTGTTCCTCATGAGCCAGAGTGCGACTGAATGTCAGGACCGCCGACTTCATGCTATCGTACGCTCCCATGCCCCTGCCGCCGTAGACCCCGTTCATTGACGAGATATTGACGATACTGCCACGACCACTCTTGCGCAGAGTAGGCCAGCAGGCCCTGGTCATGGAGACGAAGCGCATGTTGACATTGATAATATCGTGCCATTTGTCCCAAGGGGTGCCGTCAATAGGTATATAAGAGCGGATTCCGACATTGTTCACGAGGACATCTATCCCTTCAAAAGTCTTGCCAGTTTCCTTGACGACTCTTGCCGCCTCGCTCTCTTCCCCGGGATTCACAACGAACGAGGCTACTTGAGTCTGCGGGTTATGACCCTTGATTTCATCAATCGCCTCCTGAAGCAACTCCGGGTCCCGGTCGACGAGCGCAACCTTTGCTCTCTTTTCGCTGAAAGTCTGACCAACAGCAGATCCAATTCCACCTCCACCGCCCGTGACCACAGCCACTTTCCCTTCAAGTCGTCTGCCACTGATCACCATAGCTGCAGCTCTGACACGTTAGACAATGTTTGCAGTCTCCCTGAGGAATAGCTAGAGTGTATGGAATTTGATGCTAATTTTCGGCGGAAGCAATAATGAGCCTTATATTGTAACAGAGCACTTCAGAGTTCGGCGTGCACGTGCAACAACGCACGGAGGCCCTGTCCAGCAGGTCGAGAATCGAGAACGCGATTCTGGTTGGCGCTGACAGGGCAACACCACCACCACGAACACCATAGAGGCGGCGGCTAGGATAGGTACGCCTAGCACGGGGGCGGCATCGAGGAGCAGGACAGAGCTGACAAAAACACTCAGGAATTAGGTATTCGGTGCCAAAAACCATGGAATTCTTGCTGCTCTGCTCAAACTGTAAGGAATGGCACTCTGCCAGCACCGTAAACTGTTCCGCACCCCCTTTCTGCCAGCCCATTTTGGTTTGACATGTGACTACACAAAATTTCCTCCCTGCTACCGCCCTACCAGCCCAGCACAGCCCATTACAGCACAGCCACTTTGCCTTGTTACAATAGTAGTATAACTTCAATGATACCGAACTTTTCCACGCCGGAAATAGCTCTTCAAAGGGCCTTATTATTCGTATAGTTCTTTCCCTTAATCCTGAGATGCCGTCACATCAATCACCTCTAATTTCTGGAGCTTTGCCCTCTCACCAGAAGTCATAAAAGCACCCTCTGTTTCTGCCATCAGCTTCACAGCAGCTTTCAGTTGCTGATTCCGCTTTCCTTGGAACTTGGTAGCCAATCTCTTCGCTTCGATTGACGCGTAGTAAGGCTTCAGGGTCCTGTCTTCAATTGCCGCGGTGATGGCTTCCTTCCCGCTCTTGAGCTTGTTGCAATCGCCACCGAGAATGAGGAGGATATGCACATCTGGCGTGGTGAGAATCTTATGGGCCGCAGCAGCATGAGACGGATCTGCGGTGGGAGTTATAAAGACAGTCGCGCTTCCGATGACAATAGCCTTGCTCTGGCCTCCTTCCAATGGCCAGGTCAGCGTGACTGTGATTTCGAATACCCCGGACACAGGGAACAAAGGGCCCTCGGCGCCACGCAGAAGCGTGAGTGAAGACATTAGTGAGTTCGTCTGGTTAGACCGTGCCGGGTTTAATATTGTCATACGGCAAGAATCTGTGCAATAGAGCAGAGGCTTGAATGTGCGGGGTGGGACTCCGGCAGAGGTGACGGTTCCGGAGATGAAGGGAGACTTGAGACTAATATTCTCGGGGACTTCGATCGGCGTGTCACCATCATTCACCAACTCGAGTTCGACGCGAACAGGGGCTCCGAGTGGAACCTCGCTGGGTACAGGCTTGACTTTGAGCTTCAGGTTGGGTATTTCGAGGTTAAGATCCGTAGGGGTGATTGGTAGAATCGTGGTGTAGCCTGCAGTGAATTCCAAACCTCCGGGACGGACAAAAACGTCGGCCCAGTGGCGAAGACGCTTCAGGTCGTCGTCTGCGAATGCCCACTTTATCTGCCTCGGGAAAGGCCCTCCAGGTTGTGCCGCGATGTCGGGACTGGTGCGCATATAGCCGTTGTCAATTTCGTTGTGTTGAAGACCGAATGCATGCCCTAATTCGTGGACAGCAGTCCGGAAATACGCAGAAGCGGACGCACCCCATCTAGTATTGCGCACATCACCCCATAAGGGGATGTCGTGCACCAGCCAGTGGGAGGCTATACCAAGTCCTTCACGGGGAACGTTGTTTGAGTCGGTGGCCCGCCAATCATACATGATGCCTCTCTCCGTAGATTCGATGTGACGAACGGCAAGGATGTGGTAATGCCATTCAGCGTCCAGATCAACAGGGTCGCGTCTGGCCAATAGAGCTGCATGCATTTCAGCATCACTGTAGCTATCATCGGCGGGATCACCAGCCTTGGTGACGTCGGTATCGCTAAGCTTCACGTCCGCCAGAAAGCCGACCTTTGAGAAGACGGTAGCCCATGTTTCCCCCACATCATTGCCTAATGGGCGCTCGGATCCGGCAACGGTATCAATTTCGACCGTCACTTTTCGATAGAATTCGGAAATCCAGCCCAGCTTGAGACGCCCAGTTGTGGCGCCAGCAGCATTCTTAGCATCCCCTTCGAGATATTCACTGGGGTAGCCGACTGGGGCGGTGGTCCAGGACATTTTTGCGGTGAGGGTAGCCTCAGGCGTAGCCATCCAGCTGCGTGTGGTAACATCGAAGCGCCACAATTCAAATCCGAGGTTGAAGGAATTTCCGAACACAAATATCTCGGGAATACTGGTGATGCGTAGATAGTAGTGGTAACTTCCTCGAGGCTGGATAGGGATACCATTCGCAGGGTTTGGCGGCGGCAGCATGATTCTGCGTGGTGGATGCGGGGGAAAGCTCGGTAGGAGAATGACAGGACGTTGATACAGGTCACCACTGGCCGTTGTACCACCGGCATTATGTTCAACACGGAGCGTACCATCATAAGCGACAAGCCCAATTCCCGACGGTTCATAATTGACTAACCAACAGCCTCCACGGATAGTCCGGAAAGGAATGGGGAAAGGGGGTCCTCCGGGGAGCGTAGGGTGAGGGATAGGGAAAGGGGGATGGTGGAATGGTGGAATATGTGGTAGATCATTTTGGGGCTGCTCAGTATCCACATCTGGGGGCAGGCCGGAGGGCAGTATCATAGGCAATTGCGGAGGTAGTGGAGGGACGCTCATATTTGGGGAGGGATAATAGTTAGGCAAAGACGTAAAATGATACTCACTTGTGGGGACTAATAATATGAGGAGAATCCGGTCGAAATGGACAATCATGGAATGAAAAGATGGATCACCAGCTTTTATGCCCCATTTTCTTCAAGCTTCTGGCAGGAACGTGATCGTGAGCCGAGAGACCTTCTCCTGGCTTCAAGGCATGACGAATCTCGTAATCGGTTCAAGAGCCATCATGTTTGTCCTGCTGCCTATATTTGGGTGGTATCAGCACCACAACCATCGGACCGTGATACTCGCGTATCGAAATCCGCCGAGGGTTGCTCGTAAGTTGCGATGTTGCCCAGGCAGGGAACACGAGACGGTCAAAGTGCGGCTGAAGAATGCCCGGGGCAACCCTCCAAAAAGCAGTTCTAGCTCTTCCGTACCCTACATCGTGTTTGTCGAGCTGTGATGTAGAGGAGGTACTACAGTTGGCTTGAAGGTGGTGGCCTCCATGCTAGGGCCCGGCCACCGAAAATGGATTGGTGATGGCTGATGCACCATTGCGAGCAGTCTCTGGAGTAGTTCAATCCTCAACAGAGCATTTGAGCATGGTTGCCAAGTTCAGCTGAGTTTACTTGTGCGACTTACCCATAGTCCGGTGAATGCGAGGAGATGTACTCGGGCTTTGAGCAGACTTCTAACCTTAATTGAGATGCTCCCCTGGGCCTTGAAATGTCGCCACAAGATTTAGCCACGTAAGAATGAATGGTTGGAGCTTTCGTGGGATTTGCTGTACGTCCACCGCTTATCGTGTGCATTGTCTCGGATTCCTCGTGTGTGGAGAAGCGATTCAAAATATACTCAAGGGAGAAGTCGAGTTCGAAAGTAGGCATTAGGTTATCCCAAGTCTATTGAAGTAAAATTTGACCGATCCAAAACGTTCCGCCCTGGAAGCGCAGAGCCTTGGCCCGCCCCGACCAGCCTTGTCAGTTGCAGATCCTCCCGGAGAAAAATCACATGGGTGAAGGTGAGTGCCGTGGCAGCTGAAGGCTGCACAACTTGGCAGCTGAAAGATGTCGACTCATTCGCGGTCGAAAATCGGGTGTCGCTCGTAACCGCATCATGTGGCCGTCTGAGACTCACGCGACCTTCTCGCGTTTTAATCAATGGCAGCACGTAATAACTCTCAGCCCTACTGTGAAGCTGAGCAGACACAAACACATAATGGTGGTTGCCGCTGTCCCAGGCCTTTCACCCAGCCTGACCTAACCTCTCATCTTTTTTTGCCCCTACAGCCTAACAAATCCAGATCCCAACATTGGAGATTGGTGTGGTACACTATTGCACACCGGCCCAAGATGTCTGAACCAAAAGTACTCACGCCCGGAACCAGACAGGGCAGAAAGGACAGGATCCGTGGCTTCACAGAAGGTCCTGCAGGGGAAGCCTTAGCGATACTCAATCCTAAAAAGGCAAAATCAATGAAGTCAGGGCATAAAGAAGGAAGTGCTTTGAAGCCGGGAACAACATTTGGATGCTCGACGCAGAAACCTGTCCCCGTTCAGCTTGATACGGATTCTTCTCTCCTTCGAATCTTCGTCGGATTGTTCGTCTCCGTCACTCGCTGGAAGAAGAACAGCACCGTTAACTTTGCAACATATGTGAATGGATATCCTGGAGGTGAAGATGATGCAATCTACGCTGCAAATGCGCTGAATGAGGCGGCCGAGGAGTGGAATAGGAAATCGGTAGGCGTCACGTTCAAATGGGTCGACAAATTGGAAGATGCAAATTTTGTCCTTGCATACGGGGGAAATTTGGGTGATGTTGTCGCGGAGGCCTATTTCCCCAATCAAAAGGATCTCAACATAGTCTATGTGTACAAACGAGGCTTTGACGCCGACACGAAGCCCGAGCTGCACAAATTCTTTCTGCATGAACTGGGACATGTGCTGGGACTGAGACATGAGTTTGCCCCTGAATTGGAGAGAGACACCGGCGCTGTGCTATGGGGTCGTAGAAACCCCATCTCGGTTATGACCTACAGGGATGGGATTGCGCCTGAGATTCAGGATTCGGATGTTACTGACACGAAAACCTTCATCGAATTCGACGGTGACAAGATTGGCAATCAACCACTCTACACATATGAACCTGACAATTGATGGCACTCTGTTTGGCGGAGAAGATCGATTTGGTTGATCTGGGAGAGAATGGTCTCGTTCACGAAGGAAGTCTCACCTATATCACCTCTGAAAGAGAGAGAAACATCACCAGCCAAAGCTTGACTGTCGTTACCGCTTAATCATATCATTGGTTTCAGTGCTACGCTGTATTTATTCATTGTCACATACTTACTGATCCAAAGCCACCAACTATTTTTGCTATGATCTCGAGAATCGATCTCACAAAGTTCAAGATATGGGAGATAGTTAGGCTCGACCGCACGAGTAAAAGCGCAAGAAAATAATTCACCAGGAAAGTACATGTATCTGCTGGATGTATCGGATATATTCCCTGATGCTACGACGACGCCGTCACTCCAGTCAGCTGCAACGAACTGCGATGGTATGCAGTATACACCAATCGAAACCATCTGGCAATGCAAAGGCATAAAGCTGGAAATTAGACATACCACCTGTTTGTCCAAGCAAACACGTGGACTCTTTCCTGCATGGTCAGATTATAGTGCTCGGCTACCACAATCAACCCTGAGCTCACACGGTCTCTAAACCGTGGTGGCCGACTACCTACAGAAGGGTGAGGGTTGATGAAATTTTTGTTGGCGCGGGAATATGGAAGCGTAACAGCTAACGTGTGTCTAAGGTCTCCGTGTTCCTGGTGGGCTTGTGATGTTCTCGAAAGAACGCCCGGTTGGTGAAAAAGCTTTCAAAACCTTGAAACATTTAGCACTTTCGAAAGTAAATATTTTTTCTTTCTCTCTGTGTGGACCATGGCAGAAATACTGGTTACGTAGTGTATAAGAAGGTTGGTCGATATTCAAGACTACGAATGCAAGAAGACTAAAAGGAGGGTGGAGGCTAACATAAGATGTGACCAGGGGAGTGATCTTAAAAATCGGAGGAAGAAGCCCTCTCAAAGCGGCGAGACCAACCTCTAAATTCGGCGGAAAATTTAGCTAACAGCTTAGGTGTATAGAATAAGATGTACTTGTAAACGTGTTTTAGAACTAGCTAAATCTATAAGCCACGTTTATAGCCATAATTCCTGGCGCCTTGGCATATTTTTTACTGGCACCGAAACCGGCTACCTGCGCACCCGGATGTCTGAATACTACTGGGTGGATGTTGATGTACTGGCGACATCCAGGACATCAATGTCCTCGCTTTCTGCCTTCCTTCCTTGGATCCCGGTAGAACTCATGAACTTTCTGGTCTCGTCTCGTCCCGCGGAAGAGAAAAGAAAGGAGGCGAGAGAATAGGACATCTTGGATCTTGGATCATGGGTCTTGGATTTGATCCTTTGCCAACATGATAAACCTTCATTCCATTCATAAACATCGTTATCGCCTGTCCTGCTTGCCCGCTTGCTTTGCTGTAGCACACCATCCCAAGTTGCATCCTGAAAATGGACGCGGCTTTGAATCTACCATACAAGCATATAACTCTTATCACTTGGCTGATCATCCTCACTGCCGCTTCATGTCGTGTAACGTCACGTCACACCAGCCCACCCCTGCTGGTCGTGTCGCGCGGTGTCGATAATGGCCAGCAATAGATCTCTGTTCGCACGACGGACGCAGTTTTCTCCATCTTTGCCCACATCCGAGCTAGCCATCGCCGCGGCATGGACGGCGCGGGACTTGAATTTCAAGCCCGCAGCTGACATGACATATGCTTCAGTTGATATCCGTAATATCTTCATCGTCAGAGACCCATCCTGGTCTCTCGAGGCAGCAAGGGCGTTTGGCGAATCGTTGTCCTCGTTGTCATCGTCACTCTTGGAATGGTCATGTTGTTGGGTGCTCAAGCCGTCGTTCTCGAAGAACACAGGTAGGCCAAGGCCCGACTTAGCTTTGACCAAATCAGCCACCCATCCCAAGAATGTATTCGTTGGCCTACGGCTTTCTCCTCCCGAGGGCTCGACGGGTTGGTACCATGCAAGGAATGCGCTAGCGGGAATGGTGACCTGCACCTTTTTCAGAGCTTTGGCTATAGGATGGGAGATGCCGATGGTGAGTTCGATTTTGCCGATGATGTTCCTGAAGTGGTCTTGAAGGGCTTGCAGGCCGCTGCCGCCGGCAATGGGGAGACCAGTGCAGACTATTGTCAGGTAATTTTCAAGTGCGGACTGCATCAAACTCGGCCAGGGGTTAAAGGGATAGATACCGGTGAGCGCAAAGGTCTCGAGGATGTATTTGGTAAAGGATTTCAGGGCGGCAGGTGACGACTTTGACAGGACAATCGCAGGCTCTTCTCTTGACTCTGTGGAGCGTTGATCTGTGGCAGCAGCAATCCGACTGCGCCTTGAGAGGCCAGATCTTGGAGAGGCCGTGTATATCACGAAATGGAACGCGTCTTTCTCGTAGAGAAGGGATACGGAAAGCCCTCTAATTTGTGTGTGTCCGTGATCATCATCATCATCATCATCATCATCATCATCATCATCATCATCACCATTATGATCATCCTGCGTGTTCCTCTTGCTCCTCGTTCCAACTTGAACTGCGGAGTGCCGCTCGTTATCACCATCGCCGACATTGTCCAGCCTCTTCCAGGTACATTGTCTCAAGCCTCCGAGCTTGTCCCTCTCTTCTTCGTCCTCGTGCTGCGGGTGATCTCGGCCTAGAGCACTGCAGAACGCTTCGGCATGTGACAAGAGTTGTTCTTGTTGATTTTCGGGTTCTTCCTGCCTCCCTGCGGCTGCGGTTGGTTTCGAAAGTAGGACAGACAACTCGGCAGTGAGGACGGGGATGCAGAGGACAGGCGTGAGAGCGTCGTAGAGAGCCTCCTCCATATTTTTGAGGTTGACCTAGCACCGACACAATTGGAACCGGCACTGGTGACATCAACATAGTTCAATTATGGGTGGGGCACATCAATGGGGAAACGCGAAAACACGTGATCGTGACGCAGAGACAAGGCACACACGCGACCGAGCCCGTGAGATACTGTAAAGGGTAATTACTCGGGAGCTAAAAGGGTGTCAAGAGACGCCTGATGATACTCGATTTTGACACAGTTCGTCATAATAACCAAGGGGCGTAGAAACTACTGCTTGCAAACACAAGTAACAAACCGTTGTAAAGGAAACCAACTTTTAGTCCAAGATCTCAATACTCGGCGTCGCATCCGTCGAATCCCCGCCGCCGCCGCCAGGTCCAGGGCGGACTTCTGCAGCTTCGGCGGGATCAGGCAGCTCTTCAATCACCTCCTGAAGCTGCTGGAGAAAGCTCGACGAATAATTTTGACAAACATTCAACACAAACCGCCAACAAGTCCATTTCTCGGCCTCGTCGGAGAGGTCAACTTTCTTGATGACGGTCCCGGTAGAAGGACGTCCGTTGGCCGTCAATTTCGGCATAATGACCAAAGATAACGGCACTCTTCTCATCGTAGATGATGGAAAATCCGCGGATCGTCCTGTGTAACTCCCAGGCACGATTCGCTCTCCGATAGAGTTTAACAATACCTTGCATGGCGACAGTCATGGAATGGAGGGCAGCTCGCTCGCCTATTTCGCGCGCTCTCCTGCCGCATTTGCAGTGGCTAGTCAGGAAGGGGAACCAGAGGTCGTGCTTTGCGACGTGGTAGCATTCGTCGGATAGATTCATGTTGAGTTTCCTCCGCTGGAATTTTGTGAATTTGGAGGGGTGAAATCCATAGGTGTGATCTGGCTGTGGAGGTGGTCCGTCGAACGCCATTGTCTTGATCCAAGGGTGGTCATAATATTCTGCGAGGCCCTTGAATTCGGGCTCCTTGTCAAGCATATATTGGTACTCGGCCGATGGCGCGACAAAGATGTGTAGACTCATCATGATCGTGTATTCAGATTGGTCCGCGAGGCTGTCGCACACGTCTGCGTGGAACAAAAGAAGATCGGGATTGGTGCGAGGTCTCAAAAGCACTGCGCAGCAATATGTTTCGTCGTAGTATGTAAGTCCAGCCGGCGACGAGGTCGTAAAGCTGTGCGAGGCTGCTAACGCATCCAAGTAGGACGAGGTGCAATACCAGGAATATTTCTCTCTGTTGATATCACAGTTGTCGACAGATAGAGGTCGGTGCGGAGACTCTTCGTCGTCGAACGCGTACCCGTCCAGAGGATCTGGGAGCCCTCTGAGCCAGTGCTCCATGTGATCCGGGTGACCTCGGAGCCAGCGCCCAGTGGCGGAAGTGGAAGAGTCTTCAGAAATGGATGAGCCTGGTGAAGGTGGGATTTCAGGTCGATGGACGTCAGTGGCGGGCGAAGTCGCTTTTCGCCTTCGTGTCGAGGGGTTAGTCCCGTCAGCCATGGCGAATAAGAGGTATCTGTGATGGCAGAGGATGAGAGAAGGTGTAGCAGTACAGAACAAGCAGAGTATTCGCTACTGGGTAGGGGTGTGGAGTTATTGAGCTAGATTTTGTCGCCACTGCCGTGGTGACAGCATTTCATGATGATCAAGATCGGGTTTCTGGGGTTTAATCGTGGGGAGGAGAAGGAATCCGAAGTGCGGGAGGGTGAAAGGGGAAGACGGAGAAGAGGGGGCATCTTGCAGCCCCCAAGACCCCTTCTTGCCCCTTGCCAGCCTTGTGTAACATAGCCTTGTGCCAGCCTCGTGCCATTGGTGCCGGTGGTGCTACAACAAACATCAACAGCTTGGCGGCGGCGGCTTGACCTATCGCTTGCAAGAACTAAAGGAACTCTCAACAGTGATAACGCCGATGACCCTGCCTTTACCCAGTAGAGAGGGTGTGGACATTCCCCTTGTGACTTGTCACATTGATTCACACAGGGTTTTGTGGGCATCAGCCTCAGTATCAACTTCTACGTCAGCCTCTGTCCCAATCCAGAGAGAAGAGTACGGGACTTTCATAAGTCGCCCCATCCCTTTATACATCTTACGTAGCGTCGATCAAGTCCTGTCACAATCCCACAACCCAATCTCCATGATCTCGGATTTACGCACAATTCTCGGAGATAAATCTGCTCTCTCGACCGTCGCCGACGACCATCCGGCGCAACATTGCGCCTTCATCGCCCCTGGCTTCGGCGAGTTTTGTATAGGTAAGCAGACTGCCAGGACCGAATTCAGTCTGCTTCATTGGCTGTCTGTGGTCTCTGTTGCCCTGCGGGATCCTCGATTCGTGTTATTTTTCAAGCAAGTTCGATACAAAGTACATCGAGATTCTGGAACCGGGAGGCCGACTGGAACTTCTTCTGGCCTTCTTATTGGTAGCACAGCATCTAGCAAGCACACACCCGTGGCGTGATCGGGCCAGAACCGAGCATTTCCGGGACTGAAAACGAGAGATAGCTAGCTCGAGGTGAGGTAAGGTAAATCAGCGACTCATCATTTGGGGGGAGGGGGGGGTGGCATAGAATATAAAATGGGTTCAAATGTCCTATCTCCTACTAGAAGACTGAATTACAGCACACAGATATACTGCATCTACACACGCATAGAGTAATCATATCTCTTTCAGCCACCATGTCCGCCAGCCACCAAGCCGCCGTCCTCCTCCACAAGGGCGAGCGGCTCACTCTGCAAACGCTCGAAACGCCCCAGCCCGGTCCCAAGGAACTGCTCGTTTCGGTCAACGCCATCGCGTTGAACCCGGTCGACTACTACATGCGAGACATGGGAGCCTTCGTCAAGGGCTACCCGGCAATCATTGGTTCTGACATCGCCGGCACCGTTGAGGCTCTAGGGTCTTCGATCCCGCCTTCTGCGGCGACACAGTTCAAGCCCGGCACCCGTGTGTTGGCCTTTGCCCCAGCATTCTTTTACCAAGGGGAACCACCCTACGGCGGGTTCCAGAAGAAAGTCGTCGTCCCCGTCGAGAACGCCTGCGTGATCCCGGACACGCTGAGCTTCGTCGGCGCCGCCACACTGCCCATGGGCGTTGTCACCGCCTGGAGCGGATGGACCAGCATCGGGCTGCGCTACGACACCCACTTTAGCGCCTCGGACAAGCAGGGCGTTTTGGTCTGGGGCGCGGCCAGCTCCGTGGGCGTGTGCGCCGTGCAGACGGCCAAAGCGCTCGGCTTCACCGTCTACGCGACATGCAGCCCCAAACACCACGGGTATCTGCGCTCCCTCGGCGCTGAGCGAGTCTTCGACTACCATTCGGCCACCGTGGTGCCGGACATCCTGGCCGCGGCCAAGGAGGACGGCGTGGCGTTGAAGACGGCGTACCGCGCCATCGGCGACATCCAGCCGTGTCTGGACGTCCTCGCCGCGTCCAGTACCGCGGACGAAAAGGGTAAGCTCGCCAGCGCCATCCCCGTCAACGAGGCCACGCCCACACACCCCAACGTCGAAACCAAGTTCGTCATGGCCCCCGAAGGCTCCGGCGCTGGCGGTCGGCACTTTGAGTTCGTGATCCAGGAGTGGTTGGCCCCGCGACTGGCGAACGGCGCCTTCACTCCGGCGCCTGAAGCGAGGGTCATGCCTGGCGGGCTTGCCGGACTGAACGATGCGTTGGACGTGTTGAAGAGAGGGGTCAGTTGTCAGAAACTTGTTCTGGAGGTTTAATTGAATAAAATATGTATCGATGGCATCAGCCTGGAATGAGGTGACCAAAAAGCACAGACTTAGCTCCCATATACATGTCAAGTCCCGTAGCCAGTAGATATGGACTTTGTACCTGGGCACTTGACTTCTGAGGGTGATGGGACAGGTACATGCAGAACGTTACAGTAAAACGTACCCCACGCGATGCTCTGACAACCCCCGAAGTGCTTCGCAAGAGCGCCCGAGAGTACAAAACCACTACACCGGCGAAAAGGGAGAGTGGAATTTCTCATTTGCTGGCATTCAACTAAGTAGTTTGTCCAAAACTTTTAGCACCGTCAGCAGCGTGGCGTACCCAAGGAAGGTATCGCTACTGCTGATGGGTGCTGACCACTTGAAGTTGCACCTGTACACATAGTACGGACTTAGCAACTGCCTAATAATCGAAGTAGTCTGAGAAGAAGAGGAGATAACCGAAATTCAAGGGCGTACGTACGTACATGGGTGCGTATGTGCCTCCGATCCCAAAAAATGGCTCCTCATTTCCCTTTTCCCCCTCTTCATCAGAGCTCATTGCCACCGGATGGGCTGAATACGAAATTTTGTCATAACATTCAAAGCAAAACAAGAATCCTGAAAAGACAGTGGTAATGCCGAAAGGCTGATCCCATTACCTCTCCTCCATTTTGTTGCTTTTGACCCACAACTTTCAACCGCGGCTTAGTCAAGAGAAAAATGAAATTGAAGAGAAGAGAGAAGGTGGAATATCAAGGAAGATCCTGTCAGCAGTTTTACAAGATACAGTCAATAACATTATCAACACCAATCACAAGAGGTCAAGTGAGAGCAGAGACAGAGAATGACATAACTGGTGAATTACCTAAGCTCACATATGTCTCGGATCTGGCTCGATAATTCCGTCGTGAGGAGGAGTCAATGGCTCGGGGGCTCTGAAGTGAAGATATGGGACTGGTGAGCCATCCTTGGCAGTGTCGGCGGCCAAGTCTGTGGACTCGGTTCGAGGGCCATAGATCACCCCGGAGGATGCGGCAGCATTGGCACCGTCGTTGGTGTGCTCAATAAGAACCCGCCCATCGGGAAGAGTGATTTGGCGTATGTTGGGACGCATGATAGTCAGATACTGCATCAAAGGCGAGGCCAAGACGGACGTCGACTCTCGAAAAGACAAGATTTGGAATGCAGTAGTCTTGTCATGGTCTTGGCCTCTTCTTCCAGGTATATTGAAAAGCGGATCGAGCCATTTCATGTCGTCCAACGATTGAAGGGACAACATGGCACAGTTCTCCAGAGCCAGGACCTTTAAGTCGGCCGGCCTTGCAGCATCCGGGTCACGGTAGTCACTGATGTCGGAATGGTAATATGTGCTTAGCCACTGGACAAACTCGGCATCAACTCCGGCTACATGTCGGAGCCTCAACTCGGTCAAGTCTGGGTTGCACTGAATCCATTTCAGCAACTGGGTGCGGTTGATGCCAGATCGTTCCAAGGTCAACTTCTTCAACCTCACCAAGCGCAAATTGGCCGCGTGCTCCACGCCAATGCCGCCAAAGGCATCCCATAAGGTGGTCGGCTCGAGGAAGTTTGGATGGGTCCAATATTTTGGGGGCAGACAACTGTCGTGAATATAGGGATGACAGAAGCCGAGATGGAGTTCTTGGAGATTGGGGAAAAAGGTGGCCAGGATGCTGGTCAAATTGGGTGACATGAGGTCGTACATGTAGAGGGTCAGAGTCTGCAGGTTGGCTAAGGTGGGTGTCGATAGAACTGAACAGGCCATACTGTTTTGAAGGCGGATGAGCCTTCCCACATGTCGCAGCGCGAGGGCATGGATTCGGTCCTCGATGGCTTTTGAACAGGGTCTTCTTCTCATGGGGAATATTGGCCGTGGCAGTGATGCCTCGACTATCTGCTGATTGAAGCGTGGGTCTTTATCGTCATCGTCATAATCATAGTAATCCTCTAGTTTTGTGTCGCCAAGATGGCTTTCTCCTGATCGTCGCGAGGAGATAAACGCCATGACGCCATAGAGGCGGCTAGAGAAGACAGCGAGCTGTAGGTGGTGCGCCGCCATGATTGCTGCTATATAGTGGCGCCTGGAAGTCAGACCAAATTGGACAATGGTTGCTAGGGAAAAGTAACTAAGGATTTTCTGAAGGGCTTCTGGTGGAAGCCTGTATATGGGAGTAGCCATGCCCGGCCATGCGATAGAGAATGTACAAGAGCTTGAAGAGCGAGGGCGAGCAATCACTATGTACAAATCGCGAGGAGCGAGGGGAGTCGTGCCAATTGCACATGCTAATCGACACTTGAGTACGCCGAATGATGCCAATAAGGACTGAACAGCCAAACCGCAAACGATCACAAATTCCGGGAAGCGAATGGTAAAAGAAGCTTCGACATGCCCGTACGCCGACAGAGGCATGATCACCCTACAACAAAATGGCAATTGGCATTGAGAGGTGTCTAGCCCAATGGTTGGAAACTCCAATGAGTTGGACGAAGTGGAGGAAACGAGAAAGAGGGGGATAGGCCTGATGTTCATACCGTGTATGTTCCCCAAAGTTTGATGACGGCTTGATTTCTGTATCGCGACAAAGATGGACGCCAGTACCTCGCGAAGGATCTGACCTACTCGTAGACCAGCCCAGCCCATGATGACTAGCGGCATAGGACCGCTTTTCCTTCACATTTTCAACTTCTGGTTCTTTTGGCAATCTTCCCGCGAGTGCCAGGAGTCAACCTAACGAACAGGAGATGAAGAAATTGGTTTGCGAATCAGACGACAAACCATGATGCGGGAGCTCGCAAGCATTAGTTCAATTTGATATTTTCGGTCCCGTTGACAGCTGTAGCAGGTCTCCTTTGGTGACGGAGGCCGACCGAGTCTCGGCAAATATGCATTCATGAGCCAGTTACACTATCTTCGGAACTGGCAGCAAGATATAGCAAGGAGCTCGAGGACAGGTGGCTCGGCGGGCGTGATAGGAGAACCAAAGTATTAGGGGCTCGTGCTGGAAGCAGCAAACGAGGGTAGCTGCAGGGTCGAGGGTGATGACGGTCGTGATCTCAAAGTCAATTGAGAGAATGGCTAGAGAAGAGCAAGAGATGGGTGTGTGGTCGGCTGTGGATGATCGGCCTAGTGGGCTTGAGGGCGCTGGCGGCCTGGGGATCTAACTAGGGTGTGAGCAGTAAGGGAGAGCAGACGCAGGGAGCAATACGAGAAAGTAAAGTTTGATGTACCGAGTATTACCTCGTAGTGGTTTAGCGCCGAGGCCGGAACAACATTAACCCTGCCACGTCCGGCCACTGAGCGCAAGCACAGGTGGCGCGACAGCCACTGTCCCAGATATTCATATCATCCCTTTTGCATAATTTGACTTCCTGGAATTTCCCGCTCAACTCCTACAGTAGACTCACTCATTAGACTCAGAGCCTGGTGTAACAATGATTCAGCCGCCGGCTGCCTCTTCTGGGCGCCCTTCAAACAGCAAACTTTGGGCTTCGATTTGGTTCGTACGACTCGACATCAAACTAACCAGTCCCGTGCGAGCAAACACCGTTGCGTCGGCTTCTTCCATTACAAACTCAACCAGATGTCTTCCTCTTCCTGTGCCTTCTCACCTTCTCTCGCCCCTGTCGCCTTTTCGAGTGCCACTCTCGCACAGCTCTCCGCAACCTCTCGCAATTGCGACTTGCGAGAGTCGACCGCTCGTGCCCAATACGACCGCCATCTTCTCTGTATGGTCACAGCCGCTCTCATTCCTTTGGTCGGATTGAGAAGTCGAGAACAAAGGAATGCCAATGCGGCCACCACAAAGTCCCGGTCGAAGATGTGCGCATGGTGCCGGGGCCCATCTGACTTGGCAAAAAGCATAGCAAACTGCTCACTGCATCCGAGACGCTTGAGTCGTTCAGAAAGCGGCCAACTCGTTCGCAGCCCGACATCATAGCTGAGATACTTTTCGTATTCCTCGACAATGGCGGCAAAGACCCGTCCATCCGTGAAGTCTGTGGTCAAGTTTTTCACCCGAATTCCGCCCCTGCTGGCGATGGCTTGAGCCCATGATTTCAACAGAATGGTGTGCCGCGCATGACCCTCCTCGTCTGGTAGCATGTCGAAATAGTCGTTTTCGTGACTGCTGGCGCCTGTGCGACACAGTCTCTTGATTTCGCGTTCAACGTCGTTCCAATCAACAAGACCACCAAGTCCCCATTTGCTGGTCAGTCCCCAGAGAAGCCGGACGGTCTTTTCTCTGAAGCCATCCACAATGTCTTCTGCTTTGACAGTTTGGGCCAATGTCCCCACCCCCTTGACCCCCTGTATGGCGCTCAGTGCAATCTGCACATTGTACAGTTTCGTCGCTCGGCCCGGACAGGGATATTTGAGATGCTGAGACAACGGCCAACCGCTGTGCCCCCCGGCCAATGACAGCTCTTCTCCTGTCGGCAAAAGGATACTCGTGGTTGAACTTGAATCGTGCACATGCTCGAGGGACTGTGACGTAGAAGGATACAGGAGGAGTTCAACAAGCCTCGTCAGACGCACTCCATCACGTAGGTCGACTGCCAGATTTTCCAGCTTGTACGAGTATTCCGCAAGAGGATGTTGAATGTGTATAACAACATACCCGATATGGTTCAAGGCTCGAATAGGGTCCCCTGCGCTTGGATTGAGCAGTTGGAAAAGAGCTTTGACGACACTCACAGACGTCTTGTACGATGAGGATGGCCGGAACAAGCACCTGCTCATTTGACTTGGGGCAGCTGTCATCGTGTCGAGAAGCTTGATCAGCATCAAACTTCGAAGGAGTGTGCGCTGATAAGACCAGGAAGGACGATCGGTGGATGCCTCGTCTGGTTGTCCATCTTCATTTCGGATAAGGAATGTCTCAATAAACTGTTGCAACGTGCGTCGATTGGCAGCGTGGCCGCTGTCGAAGCTTGGCCGTACCGACAAAAATTCACGTGTATAGCTCGAACACTGTCGACCAACAACAACCTCCAGGGCCATCCGCAGATATGGAAGCTCATAAGTGTCGAGCCACAAATCCGTAAAAGTCTTTCGCTTTCCGAGATCAGTACTGAGTCTCACAGCGCTCTTAAGAACGTCCGTGGGCACACTGAATGCACCATATGGCAAAGCTGCCTGAAGTCTTTTGTAGAGCATCACATTTCCCGGATCCCCATATGTCTCAAGCAAATGAAGCCTCAGCGTTTCATCTTCGACTGGCGATGATATCCGGGTAGACGCCCCAAAGAGGTTGTTGACCAGTTGTGCAATGACGATTTCTTGGTGGCTAAGCCAGCTATCTTCATACATCGCCGGATCGACGATATCATCGGTGATAATGGGATATAACTCCCTGACCAGCGGACGATCAACTTTGGGAATAACAAATCGACTGGGAACTGATGGCTTCCCGACAATGGATTGGCCCTCTCCTGCCCCGAGGCGTGACGTTGGCTGTTTTTCCATCATGGGTGCTTGACCCGGTTGATTGCTCTTCAACCGTAGTCCTGCATTCCAGCTCGGCTTCGTACTGGTACTTTGAGCGTTGTTTTTGATGTTGTCGTTGACCTTTCCCGGAAGAGCCGGCACGAGTTCGTGCAACAGCGAAACTCGTGCTCGAGGATTGACTTGCTGATGAGCCAGTGGCCGTACAGGCTCGAGATCCCTACTTCGCCCACTAAGTCCAAGCAGCTCCTTCCTAGACCTTGTTTTCTTATTGAGCACTTCATTCTCACCCGGGGGAACGTTTTCCTTCCCACCGCCTTGACCCCAACGATCCACCATTACCGCACTTTCTTGAAGGGGTTTGGTCGTGACCTGCAATGGCCTTCGTTTTGGAGACATTGCGATCTTTGCCTTTCCTACACCTCTCTTCTTGGCAACCATTTGCGCAATAATCCCGGTAAGTTCGACATCTGGTTTGCTGGATCGTTCTGCAGCCGTCAAGGGTGATTCCACCCCCGGGACAGACTTCACCACTGGATCAAGACCCTTGATAGGGCTGAAGATGCCCATGTATATGCTTGGCAGGGTGGTGTCCTCGGTCGGGATATAGATCGTAGCGCGTCGTGCAGGCTTGAGGGTAGTTGTCGAATCGATCATCGGAAGAGCAATTGTGTTTTCGGGCAGTGGTGACAGCGGCTCCGCGGTAGATGATAATGATGCTCCGGGTTTGGTTATTATTGGTCGTCGCGGAGCTTGACTAAGGCTCGTGGAAGCACTGCCCCGCCTCAATACCGGCGGCTGTACATTACTGGCAGCCTCGTCCGCTGAAGCGGTAGCAAGAATAGCAGCAGTTGAGGGAACCTGCGCAATAGATTCAGAACCAGCGGCAGCTCGCCCTTTAGGTCGTTGCGGTGGTTGAGACATCACGGCCTTCTTCCTTACGGCCTCCTTCATCAGGTTATTCTTATTATCATTGCCATGCTTCCTGGCATTGCTGGGCCCTGGTCCATCACCATTTTGTGCAGCAAGAATTTGGGGTTTATCCTCATGGATCATGAAACCCAGCCCGTCCGGCCGTCTTCTGCGTCGCGGTTTAGCGTTCCTCAAAACGCTGGGTGCTGGTGCTGCAAAAGCAGACGTAAATTCAATGTTTGCCGTTGTGTCATCGCTTGGAGAAGACAAGATTGAATCTCGCCCGCGTGGGCGCTGGCGTTGATGGTGGCAGCATTGTTGTCGTCGCTGTGGTTGCAACTGCACCTTGGTGTGGAGCGGAATTGGGCACGGCGTGCTGGCAGTCGTGGAGGACGGAGGCAGCATCGGTCAGATATGAGCTCTTAGTAGACTCTCACAAGGTACAAGTACATCTCTCCAGCACACGGCTTTCTGTGCATTTGTCCGTTGGCGATGGACTGCGCCTCCGATAAAGGTTGGTTGAACGCGTTGGGAGGAGGCGCGACGCGTAAATGAAAACCCTCCGAGAACTGTTTATTCCTTGTTCTACGGCGCTTGTGGTGCGGGGCAACCACTTTCATACTGCCGCCAACTGCTACAATTCGTAAAAGAAAAAAAATGACTCGTAGGTAGAAGGAAGTCTTTCCTCGTGATTTGTAGTGCGCACTCTTCGCCGCCTGTTATTTACATCTATATTCAAACCGTGCCTGTGCTTATTCCCGTACCCATGCCCATGCCCAAGCCCAAGCCGTCGCTATGCACATAATCAAATAACCAGCTGCACGCTAGATGTCAGGTACCGCCAGGTCCTTCGCCAATTCATGCAGAAGTGAGTCCTCAATGTCCTCGTCAACAAAATCCCACTCACAAGCGTGAAGTGGGGAGAGCTGTTCTACAGCTCATCCCGACCGGGAAAGTGAAAATCCCACGACCGATCCGGCACCGGCAGCCCCAACCAGAAATTCCACAAGCGATTCATTTCCATCAGGAAAATGGCCCCAAACTTGAACGGGAGCTCGAACCAAGACCGCAGAACCATCTTGTACGTGCGCCAAACGAGATCGAGCTCAGTCCAAAATGCTTCAGCAAGCACACTCCCCTGAGGCGGAGGATGTGAGGTATGGATATCTACATCATCGTACAGGTCGTCGAACTCTGTGATTTGCTCTGCACTCTCGGTATCGGCCGGATCGATCTTGGTGTCGCTCTTTGTAGAGACTGGCAGCGGGCCTTCAATGTCCAGCACACTCAAATCCCCGGTATTGAGAGCGGTGCGGAACTTTTGGATCGCATCCAGGCTGTGACTGAGACGACCCAGTGTGTTGACCAACGCCACCAACTCCGTTCTCCTCAAATGAGGGTTTTCGCCATTTTTGTTCTCATCGTACTCGAAAAGGACTTTCAATGCAGCACCGTACCCAGCTGTTTGCAGCTTTCCCCAGAGTCTGCATTTATCGCATCCCACGCAATCCATCAACCTAGACACGTTACGAAACCTATTGCGGAAGTCGTCCTTGAGATCCATGACCGAAGGGTCTTGAAACATCACGGATTCATCGAACGTGTGGGGTCCAGATGCTGCTTGGTCCGCGAGTGCCAGGACTTTCTGTTTGGTTTGGAAATCCTGGTCGGGGTCGCCAGAACAGAATGTGTAGGACTCGAGATGTTTCCTCAACTTGGCGACTGCGCGCGTCAGGATGGCATAGTTGAAGTAGAGGTTGGAAACGCGCTCTGGATACTTGTGCAGCCGTTCCTTGTAGCACTCGAGGTTGTGGACCCATTCGCCGGTAGTTTGATTGAAGAACTCCCAGCAAATGTGTGTGGAGATGGAAGCATGCATGCCGCTGACGATGCGATAGAATGCCCGTTGCTCCAGACATTCATCGTCGAGAGGATACAGGTCGTCCGAGTTGTCTACGTGTTGCCGTCCATACTCTTGGAAGATGTTCTTCAGACTCTGTGCGGCTTGGAGGGGCTTCGGTTTCAGAGAGGCATGCCGGGAGGATTTGGGAGTGAAGCAGTTCTCCTTGTATATAGCATCCCAGACTTGTCGGGCACCTAGTCCCGAGTAGCCGGTATATCGTTCCGTGTTGTTAACCAGACTGACATAGTCTCCTTTCGCCGCCGCGCCCTCATCTTCGGGAACGCAATAGTCCCTTTGGTCACATTCGTCGTCTTCCTCCAGCACACAACTCTCATCCACGTTCTCGCCCAGCTGATACTGGAGCGGTCGGTTCTTGGGTCTTTCTCGCTGCAGGGCAATTCCAGGGTGTTTCGCCCTCGCACCCTCCAGCTTGCTCAACTCTGCGGCTCGCCAGATTGGCGGTATGTCACTTTCATCTTCTATTGTCTCCACGGCACACGCGCGGTTGCCGCACATGGAATTCTCATCGGTCCAGAAGGGACAGGCTTTGTTGTACAGGTTCAATCTGTAGTATGCGAAGAAATCGGTATGTTGTGTCAAGTCGTCTAACGAAGGGTAGAGGTTGGCATTGAGCCTCTCGAGATCCGAGTATGAGGTGCAGGCATCGGTCACGATTGAATTGGGGTCTATAGCACACTGAGATTCTGCGTGGACGCAGGGTGAGTGGAAGACGAGGTAGAAGGCAAGGAAAAAGTGCGAGGCTCGTTGAAGGCGCATTTTGCGGTGTTTTGGCGGTACCGCGTGCAAATAAAGAGAAACGACCAAACGACGAACGGTGGGAAATATGTAGAGTACAAGTATGGGAAAAGGAAATGCCTGGAGCACAATTTATTTGGTATTAGTTGACATTAGTGAGCAGACGAGCTGAGAACAAGTTGGCCAGATTCCATCTCAGGCCAAATCCGTACGCTCCTTCCCCGCAGCCAATTGGTAGGCACTGAATTTAGGTGGAAAAGGGTCCTCGCAAGGTACTTAGTTGGTACAGAGTCAAACCACCAGGCGTCACCATCGACCACCCCACTGCCACCACTGCCACCATCGCCCTCTAAGCCCCTTTATCCATCACGTGTTGCATCATCCGATCCTAGGACACTCTCATCGCTACCGAGTTCGCATTCTGAAACAGGGAGTTAGACACCAAGGTAATATGTGCTCCATACTCTCGGTTTGACGAAAGCTCTGTGTCTTGCAGAACGATGTTATCTGGGGATTCAACGAGGCTTCAGGGACAATCAATTCCATGACGATGCCAAATAGCCTCCTCTTGCAGACCGAGCGCAGCCAGGTCTCCCTTCGTCTTGTTCGTCCGCCACAAAAATCCCAGGATGATGCTCGCAATTCCTGGAGTCTATCTCCACCATTGTTATTGTGGCATCCTGAAGAATCCCGTCTTTCTGACTGCTTTACAATCCTTGAACTGCGCGAATAGCAGAAGCTCCGCTCGAAGACTGGGGTTTTTTTTTCTCTGCATAGACTGCCGAGTATATGGTACGTTTCCTCGGCCTCAGAAGTCTCCGCCTTCGGATCACCTAAACACTAACCAGGGATATTTTCTATGGAAGAACACAAGTCTTAACAACCGCATGAAGTGATTGAGAGCTTAGTTGAAAGCCAAACTTATGCTTTGAACAACATCGTCGCCTGGAAAGAACAATATCATTCCTCTCAGAGAGCGTGTCCCCCCATCTTCGCAATGTCGTCGTCTCGCGTGCCACCGATACCTGTGGATGCCATGTGCATGATCTGAGACTCAAGAGGTCCTTCCCTCATGCTTCACGCGCCGGTCTCGCATTGTCTTGCCCCAGAAGTGGCGTCATTTGAAACTTCCTCTGATGGCCGGCGACCTGTGAAACAACACAGGATGAGCCTGCTGCAAACTTTCTGCGAACGTATTTGCAAGGAATGCGGCCGCTCATGGTTATGCTTTGGTCCCGAAGCAATTTCCACTCTTTGATCAAAAATGATACAAATCGGTGACCGAGGAGCGGCAATATGTCGCAAACGCATCCATCAAGACTTTCCCCGTGTATCCCATTGTTAGCTTGTTCTCGTCGAATGTGCTCTTCTTAGGGGACGAATGCAGTAGCAGACGTTCTATGGGGAAGGTCTGAGTGTCTTGGGACATGATGACTATCACCCATCCGGATCAAGTTTTGTTATCCCACATATAGGGCGAGTGCCCAGGTTAGATTGGGTAGATCGATCGTCTCCAAACAAATCATGCTTGTAAACCACCCGCATCACTACAGATAGGAACCAAGTGAACTTTCATGAATTTGTCACTTAGGATAGCGGGAATTTGCTCCCTCACTTGCAGAAGGGCAGCACGTCCACGGTGCCACATAAAGGTTTTCACGACAATCTTCGAAAATCTCAAGATATTTTGGTGGTATCGTAGTACTCCACATACCACCCAATATCGTCAGCCCAAGAATTTTGATATATAAATTTTAGATGCAAAATTCTTCGCCAAGAAAGTCACACATCCTCGATGGTCTAGTGGTCATGAGTAAGACCTCCCCCGTTCTCCTCCACCACCATTGTTCACTACCGATCTGTGTTCTAACACGTAAACAGTTTCCGCTTGTCATCTCTTCATTGGGGAAACAAGCCGCGGGAGACCAGGGTTCGATTCCCTGTCGGGGAGTTTTTTTGGTCTTTCTTGTTGGCCTCTTTTTGTTATTATGGCTGTTGAGGGAGATAAGAGAAATAGATGGACAGAGCGGAGTTGCCAAGATAGACTGGCGGGGGTGGAATGGCCACGCCTCGGCATAGTATTGGAGCCGAGTGCTGGCTGAGGAATGTGGAATGAGGTGGGTATGTGAACACGCACAGAAGTAGGAGTAGGTGCGTGACGGGGCCACAGACTCTTACACGGCACATTGATTGGTACGCGTCACTCTAAAAGCTAACATGTCCCCCCGTCGAAATCAAAGTACATCCCTCCACAACAGGAGGCTATGATAAAGGTGCCGTAGCAAGTACGTCCCTGTCGAGTCTTGGATATTGACTACGATGTCTGGCCCCAAACGACTACAGGCGGCCATATTCAAAAGACAAATGTCCTTCGTCCCAAAACTCGTTCCTTTCCCACGATTCCAAGGACTCCCTGAAAACAATATTCGTCAAACCCATACCGACGTCGAGATCCAGGCAGGTCATCGTCAACGGCCGCTCCCACCGGCCTTGCCGAAAACGCCCATGCTTCCTTCTGGTATCATTATTAGTACAACGAAACCAAACCCAAGCTTGAAGAAAATCAAAACACTCCTTCCCAAAGGTCGGTTTCAAAACACGGCGACAACCTCGGACTCTGTTAAAAGAGCCGAAACAGCTGGTCACTGAGCGTAGCGAAGAGGAAGTGTGAGGCAAAACAGGACGATGTACCTCCCCTTATACTTCGATAGGGCCCATCACCTCTTCGCTCACCCCCCGGGCTGTGCTCTTGCTATGACTTCTCGCACTCCGTACCTCTTCGTCACTAAGCAGGTAATTGTCATGCTCGTCGACAACGGGCCGGGTTGGCGGTGGGAACTCTTCCTCGTCAGATTGAGATCCACGGTTTTGCGAAGGTCGTTTAGTTTCGGAAACACGAGGACTGCTGGTATTGTCGTCTTTCTCAACCGACGTCACCGCCATATCGGCATCTTCCTCCGCTCCATCGTCGTGCTCGGCAATTTCGACATCATCTCGATCACCAAGCCAGTATCTTGCTCGCTTGTGAGCGCCGAGATCAGGAGTGATCCACCCATCCACCTCCTCATCAACAAAGCGCTTAGATCTCATAGGCGACTGGAGTGCATCGATGGTAGGGACGGCCAAAACACTGATGCCCCGTAAATACAGGTAGCAAACACGCTTCCTCGCTTTGTTAAAGAAGAAATAGTTCATAGACCAGATCGATCCCTCATCATCATCCTCAAACGGATCAAAATCTTCGGGCGCGTAACGATACACGGCGCAGTCGCGCAAGCTCATTTGTTGATCGATCAATCTCCACATCGCCGGGCCCCATTGCGGCTGAGTGGAAGCAAGGCCGACGGAATCTTTGGAGAACGTGTTGAGGGGCCGTGAGTGGAGATTGTACATGGTCGTGTCCACAGTGTTCATGACGTGTCGTAGGCTCTTCTCTCGTTTGAAGTCTGTGGGCCTCAGGACATGAGAGAAGTCGTAGTGGGGATGACTGGCGTTGAGCGTCGCTATCAGATACGCATATGTTCTCCTCGAGCTAATCATTCCTAGATTCCCGAATGGGCTGTTTCGACTTAGATTCAGGCTTGGGGCCACCACATGCGCCTGAGGTGGGGAAAGCGACTTGGAGAACTGGAGGTTCGACTTGTACTGTGCTTCAAGGCCATTTTCAATGTTCTTATATAGTTTCTTATCTCCTCCGGCTGCCTTGGTGGTGTATAGGTCGCATCCCCCCACAACATGGAGGTCTGGGGTGGAGAAGTTGAGCGCGGAGGTGACAGTGTCGAGATCGCGATTGGGCATAAACTAGACGCATGTGTTAACACCAGCTAAAATCCACTGACAGTGAGAATAAGTCAGCCTACCTTCATGTTGCTGGTGTCTGGTCAAGCCACGTCAGACTTAGCGCATCGTATTCGGCGGGACTTAGAACAGAGGTCAGGTCGTAGTATAGATGCAGGATAGATGGACTGCAACTCTCGACAAGCGCTTTGCGGAAAAACGTTGGCACGGCAGCAGCGGCGCAAGTAATGGAGTCTGAAGAGGGATGGTTGACCTGAGTCGGCTATGCGATCGCGAACAAAGAGATAACCAGGGCTGGCTGCAGAGGCAGCTCTTGGCGATTCGGATAGCTAGACGATGGACGCCTAGCAGGTCGCAAGAGAGTGATGAGATTCCATGATAGATTGTCGATGGTTGACGGATGATGGAGGTAGAACAGGGTGCGGTTGTAAGATGGACGACGTGAAGCCGGGGCGGAGAAACAAGATGGGGAGCGAGCGAGGTTCGAGGCCCTAGACTCGTCTGGGGCTATGCTGTCACGTGCACCCCCCAAACAACCAATAAGCGGATCCTGCCTCGCACATGCACAGCAGCGGACGATGACAATGGATTCCGGACTCCGTACTCACGGCAATTCAATTTAAACCAAGCATAGGGCGAGGGTGATGAGGTCAATGGCAGCTTGGGTTGGATGAATGTGAGGAAGGGGTCAATCGTAGCAATATGCGATCAAAGGCTCCCAGGCCACTGTTTGAGTTAGCTCGCCAAAGGGGGATGGTGTATCTTAACTCTGGGTGCTCTGGGTATGCTCTGATTGTCTTATGACCTGGTTCGCGGTGTACTGTACATGACATGTTTCCGTCGCACGAAGCGACTGAAGCAGAGACCCTGTTTGCAAGGTCCATGTGTCCTTCCCGGGGTATCTTCCTTTCTGAACGCCATATCATAAACTCCTGGCTCGACCAAGGACATCGCGACGGCGCCGTTCAAATCAATCCGCCTCTCTTCAGCGCCTCCTCGGTGGTCTGCAAAATAAAGACTTGTCAATCATGGCGTATTCTCATGATTCGGAAGCACTCGCGACACATGCTTTGACGCGGGACCAGATCTGATATCGCCCCATCACAGAAGATCGGCACCCGAGGACATGCCACCGAACAACACAGTGGCCGTCGGCATCATGTTCTACATGATTTTGGTGACTTCTTCCTCGACCTGGTTCGACAGGAGACACACTGAATTAGTCTCAACAAACACAACGGGAACCTAAGATAAGAGCATACCGCCGCCACAGGAAGGGCGCAGATGGAATATCGCTTGACGCAAGAAATTATCGCCCCGTGGGATAGCTCATATAACCCAGGGTTCGGCGATCCTCAAAGGGATACACTTGTGGACATATCAACGTTTTGGCTTACCTCCATATCTTCGAGGCTATCCTCTTGACTGATGCACCTCAGCACATTTTTCTTGCTGCTTTCCTGCATCTCCCCGGCCAGGAGGAGTTCGTCCAGAATAAAGTAGGCCTTTTGGAAATTAAAAATGATGTCCAGTTCGCACACGTTCCCATAGTATTTATCCATCTGTTCAACATAACGGTGAACGATCTCGAGGGTGATCAGCTCGTTGTCCGTCGAGTCACAACCGGCGATGAAGAAGAGAGATGCATAGCGACGATAGACAATCTTGGTATCTGAACCGAAGGAGCACGAGAGTCAGCCTCACAGTTGAGAAGAGAAGAGAAGGAGCAAATCAAGAGGGGGAGAAACAGAGAGGAAGCAGGTGGGTTGAGAAATGCGCATCCACACCCTTGTATTCGAGAAAGTTGCACATTCGAGTCCGCCGAGCGAGAACTAGTTGAGAAACATCCTTGATGATTTTGGCCTTCTCCTTGGGCGACAGAGTGGTGAACCATTTTGCCAGTCTCTGGATAAATCATCAGATTAAAGTCAGCGAAACGAACCATGGAGGGCAACTACTTGGAGGGTATTGAGCCTACCACTTTGCCCTGGCGGGAAAGCAAGATGAGATATCTGTTTTCCGTCAGTATGCCGGATCGCACGCACATTCCATCGGCTTCTCACTTGATAGCCATCTTGCCTGTCCTGTCCATGGGCCACAAGCTGAACACGGAAGATGGAAGCGCAGGATGGAAAAAGTTCAATGACTGGCGACGGAAGTGGTGCCCGGCTCGCTGCCGAGATTGATAAAAGCGGCTTGTGGCTCATTCCGCTTCAGGCTAGTCATTCAACGTGACTGTTCAGGGTAAACTCTCTGAGACTAGCAGGATCCGCCAAGGGATGTACAGGGGGAGATCATGTACGGGCTGACCCCCCCCCCCGGTTCACTAGCGCGTCGCATTCCTGCCTACCTACCTACCTACTTACCTACTGTTAGGGATTTCTTGGCAAGTAGGCAGAATCTAACGATAAGCGTATACATAAGATATCCCTATAGTATATGATCGATACTGTACACGACTCAAAGTATAAGGGGGGGAGAGGGTGCGCCTCTTCTACGGGAAGCATACTAGTAATATAGATGCACTCCTTGAGTCGTGCTTCTTAGCTGGTGATCTAATTACTCTCCGATGTATTAGAGGTCCGTTCTTCCGATGTTTAACCGAATCCGTAATACTGGCCCCCCCCTTTAAGCTTCTCGTTGTTAGACACAGTCTTAGAGGAGACCGGTTACGAGCTACGCGGACGCGGCTCACTACGCTCATTAGATATATGGAAGAATCCATGGAAGAATAAGGCTAAATTACGTAATATGCCCTATTAATTCTATTAGCTCTATCGGCTCTATTAACAGAGCGCATAGAGCGCATAGAGCGTATAGAGCATTAACATTATATATATACCCTCACTACTCTAGTTAGTTACACTCTCTTCGTAGTTAATTCATATTATCTACTAAACTATATAGTTCTTAGTAATAGAGAACTCTACTTATATCTTATAACTTTCTTAACTAGCTTACGCTACTCTAGAATTATTACTAAGAACCCTAACCTAGTTAGGATTAGTAGGGATTCCTAATACTTTAGCTACTCACCCCGTTACGGAAGATAATCTCTATAAGTAGACCGAATCGACCCACCTCACCTATAGACGAACTTACTTAACGTATCGCACGACTATTTATAAACGATAATATAATGTTGACGACATTAGATACACCGAGATCGATATTAGGTACTCCGAGGACTACGACTAGTACACTATTATCGACGTACGGAATAAGTGCGATAAGCTTATTAAGAGAGGTATCTTTAATAATTAGTAAGAGAAAGATTAGTAACTTATCTAAGTTCTTTAACGACGTAGAATCTAAGCTTATACTCTTTATTCACTACGTAAATATATATATTCTAATGAATCTAACTAACTTCTAAAATAACTTATAGAAGATTCTCTTTATAGAAAGCTATTTCGAAGAAAATACTAAAGTATAGCTTAGATTCTTTATTAAAGACTATATAGAAAATAAAGATAATAATAGAGAAGACGAGATCATTAATCCATTTAAAATATTTATAGAGTTTAAAGAAACGATGAAACTAATATTTAAAGTAAAAGATAAGAAAAAAAAAGCTTAGAAGAAGATAGTAAGTCTTCGATAGACCGGGTTAATTTAAGAATATATAATAAAATTTAGAACGTTAAACGTAGCCCTAGAATAATAAGATAATATCACTATTTCGATCTTTAGAGAAGAATTAAAATCGAAGATTAAGTAAAAACTACGATATCTTAAGAAGATTACTCTAAAGAATTAAATAGTGAACTAAGGCGAGGCTACTAGCCATAAGTATTAACTCATACGGCGGTGAGTATAGTCTCTTCTTAACGCGTATACTTAACTAGGGAAGTCCTCTCTATTAGTAACTTAGTTACTTATCTTATTATATAAAAGATAGTTCCTTAGAACTATATAAGAAGAACTATAGTCTAGGGTCGGCGCCTCAGCTAATTATAACGCTATTCACTACTTCTAACTTCTTCCATTATATTCCTCTATTAGGGATTCCTTAGTAAGTAGGTAGAATCTAAAGATAAGCGTATATATAAGATATCTCTATAGTAAATAATCGATACTATACACGACTTAAAGCGTAAGAGAGAGAAGAGTACGCCTTCTATACGGGGAGTGTACTAGTAATAAGGATACACTCTCTAGATTATATCTCTTAGCTGGTGACCTAATTATTCTCCGATGTATTAGGCGTCCGTTCTTCCGATGTTTAGCCGGATTCGTAACACTGTTCCCCCCTTTAAGCTTCTCGTCCCCGAGAAGCTGTGAGTAGTATACTCGTCGTACCCATCTCGTATATACTTTCATGACTACCTACGGTAGTGTACTTCATCGAGTCGGTGCGCACTTCACCTTAACGACGTACTTAGTCGAGATAATCTTACTTCCTAGCCTCGCCGTGTAGCCTTATATATTTAGTCTCGCGTACGTTAGCCTTATTTCATTTTATATATACTATGAATAGTATTAGTAGTGAATATCATAAATAGATTCATTTATACTATGATAATAGCGTAAAGATAATAGTATAAGAATAATAATATATCTTCACTACTTATAAGTTATATACGTTTAAATAACGAGTAAAGAATATTAGTAAATAGTGTATCTACTTCTCCTATAGTATAAATATTTCGTTACGATCATTAATCCTTAATCTTTTCTTTTCTTAAACCACTTAATTCGTTTCTCTATAAGCGCTTTTCGCCTATTATTTATATACGTTTTATTTATATTAATACGTTATACTATAGTTATCTCGCGCCGATAGTTTCTAGTTCTTTAATTATTATATTTAAACTCTTTATTAGTAAGTCTTATACATCGTATATACTTATCGTATACTAATCGCCTTTAGTATCTTCTACTATCGTTATCTCTACTACTTCTTCTACTCTCGGCTCTAGCGCTATTATTAGTGACTTCAATAATAAACGTCGTCCCCTTAGTGAAGATAAACGTTATATATACTTACGCTATTATAGTGCGTATAGTATACTAATCGTCTATTAGCTCGTCGTTCCCCGTCGCCGCCTCACTCGGCTAAAAAAACTAAGAAGAATTCGCGTAAGAAGGCGCTAAGTCTACTCTATCGCCGCTGCCTTCGCCGTCTATATAGCGGCCCGGGCTTCGGTAAGCTAGCGCCCGGCTAGCTACTCGTCTACGATATCCCTACGGGTGGTACGCGCTACTCTCGCTGCGCTACTAATAATCGTAGTAATACTATGAGTTATATTTCTATAAGCTCACTATCTCGCTATTATTACTATACTAATACTATACGAGGTCCCTACTTCTTATATACGCCGTACCTAGGAGCTACTCGCTACTAATAAGGTCTACGGTCGCGGCGACCCCGGCGCCCCGGCCCTTATAGAGATCCGGGGCCTCGCCGATATTCTATCGCGCGAGATATAGACGGCCGTCGCTCGCGTCACTTATCTCGTCCTCGATCTTTCTACTATTAGCGGCGTACGCGTAGTTAACGCTACTCTAGATAGCTCTAGAGTAGTAAGCGTATCGTCTACTATTAGAGATTTCTTAGTAAGTAGGCAGAATCTAACGATAAGCGTATATATAAGATATTCTATTAGTATATGATCGATACTATACACGACTCTAAGCGTGAGAGAGGGAAGAGTGCGCCTTCTATACGGGGAGTGTGCTAGTAATAAGGATGCACTCCCTGGGTCGCATCTCTTAGCTGGTGGCCTAATTATTCTTCGATGTATTAGGCGTCCGTTCTTCCGATGTTTAGCCGGATCCGTAACACTGCCCCCCCCTTTAAGCTTCTCGTCCCCGAGAAGCTGTGAGTAGTATACTCGTCGCACCCGTCTTGCGTATGCTTCCATAACTACCCACGGCAGTGTGCTTCATCGAGTCGGTGCGCGCTTCACCTTAGCGACGTATTTAGTCGAGATGATTCTACTTCCTAGCCTCGCCGTGTAACCTTATACATTTAGTCTCGTATACGTCAGCCTTATTCTATTTATATGTGCTGTGAATAATATTAGTAGTGAATATCATAAATAGGCCCATTTATACTGTGATAATAGCGTGAAGACAATAGTATATCTTCACTACTTATAAGTCGCATACGTTTAAATAACGAGTGAAGGATATCAGTGAATAGTATGCCCACTTCTCCCATAGTATAAATATTTCGTTACGACCATCGATCCTCGATCTTTCCTTTCCTCGAACTACTTAATTCGTTTCTCTATAAGCGCTTTTCGCCTACTATTTATATACACTCTATTTATACTAATATATTGTATTGTAGTTAATTCGCGCCACTAAATTTCCATTTTTTTAACTTACTCTATTTTAGTTCTTCACTAGTGAGTCTTATACGTTGTATATACTTGTCGCGTACTAATCGCTTTAAGTGTCTTCCGCTACTATTGCCCCCGCTACTTCTTCTACTTCCGGCCCTAGCGTCATTACTAGTGGCTCCGGTAGTGAACGTCGCCCCCCTAGTGAAGATAAACGTTGTATGTACTTACGCTATCACAGTACGTATAGTATACTAACCGTCTACTAGCTCGCCGCTCCTCGTCGCCGCCTCGTCCGGTTAAAAAAACTAAGAAGAACCCGCGTAAGGAGGCGCTGAGCCTACTCTACCGCCGCTATCTTCGCCGCCTTAGTAACGGCACCGGCGTCGGTAAGCTAGCTCCGGGCTAGCCCCTCGTCTACGACACGCCTACGGGTGGCACGCGCTACTCCCGCTGCGCTGTTAATAATCGTAGTGGTGCTACGGATTATATTTCTATAGATTCGCTATCTCGCTGCTATTACTATACTAATACTATACGAGGTCCCTACTTCTTATATACGCCGTGCCTAGGAGCTACTCGCTGCTAACGAGGCCTACGATCGCGGCGACCCCG